AGTTCTACAGAAGAAGTCGTTTGTAGCAATATAGCCAAATTGCCCCCATTTGGCCCGCCCCTTAGCCCCCTGGGGAGTCAGCCCCACCATTTGAACAATTTTCAATCACCATCACCTAGGGATGCTTCCAGTCAAATATGGTTGATATCCACTTCTTAGTTCCAGAGAAGAAGTCGCTTAGAGCAGTATAGCCGAATACCATTTTTGGCCGTGCCCCTCAGCCCCCTGGGGGGTCAGCCACACCATTTGTACAATTTTGAATCCCTACCTCCCAGGAATACTTTTGATCAAATATGATTGATATCCAGTGCACAGTTCTACAGAAGAACTCGTTTGTAGCAATATAGCCAAATGGCCCCCTTTTGGCCCCACCCCTAAGCCCCCTGGGGAGTCAGCCCCACCATTTGTACAATTTTTAATCACCACCACCTAGGGATGCTTCCAGTCAAATATGGTTGATATCCACATCTTAGTTACAGAGAAGAAGTCGCTTAAAGCAATATGGGCAAATTGACCCCTTTTGGCCCCACCCCTCAGCCCTCTGGGGGGTCAGCCCCACCATTTGTACTATTTTGAATCCCCACCACTTAGGGATGCTTCCAGTCAAATTTAGTTTAATTCCAACCAGTGGTTAAGAAGAAGAAGTCGTTTAAAGAAATTGTTGACGGACGGACGTACGGACGTACGACGGACGCCACGGTATGGCATAATTATATAAGCTCACCTTGGTCCTTCGGACCAGGTGAGCTAATAAAAAATGAACTTTAAAAAGTTAAACTTAACATTATAACATGACCAAAGTGAAAGCTAATACAATGTTGATACATTTTCCACCTAAAGACTTGAAAAGCACATGGGGAAATGTTAGTGGTTTTTCTTAATTCAAATCTAATACGGATATAGGATGAGTTATTCCATCACATGAAAGCAGTAAAACATTGGCAGATAATACTAAAGATCTGTTTATAGAGGCCTATTGACTGTGTCTAGGAATGATCTATGTACAGTATGTGAATTATATATTTTACCAACTTCAATACAATACAATAATCGTTATTTAAAGTCGGGTAAGTGTACAACAGTAAAACATTAGCTCTAGAGAGCTATTGATCCAACTACATTGTACAACTGATAATGGTGTGGTTAATTTTACTGCTGTATTATACAATTTTTAGATTGCCAGTTCATCTCGGCAAGAAATAGGCTATATGGCAGCAAAAGCTGGTACGTCATAAATGACCAATACAGTCTGTATATAATTTTGGGTTATATTTATCACCTTATATTTGTTTTCCTTTTCTTCCAATCCATATTCATTGAGTACATTGGGTAGGTTTGACTGACTGTGGAGCTTTTCTATGTATCCACTTTTAATCCTGTCCAAATCCACCCTGACTGCATTCTGACACTGGGTGTCAATTTCCTCTTCATCAGTGTCTGGATTTTCTATATTCAGATGAGTCACTATGTGGTCATCTTCATTTTCCTCCATCTTTAACAATACAATTTAACTTAAAACCATTAAGATATCACTTGTGACAGGTCCTGTACACTCTGTCGATTGAGCTATACTGTAACCTGTAAAAACATAATATCAACATATGCACCTGTAATTTAAAGCTTTATTGAGCTATTTCAGTTGTTTTTTTAAAAAGAAGTTGAATAATACTATTCTGTAATATTGACTGTAAATAGTAATGTTGACTACAAAGACATGTATTTAGAAGTATATCTTTATTTTTCATATAAGGACTTCTTTTTTTTACATCAAGCTTGCATGTAAAAACTCAGTTTAAAAATAACTAAAACAGCTGTTTCATTTCAACTTTCTTATTGATACAATACTTTGTCAGCAACAACACATGAACATATTGTTTCAAGAACTATGCCGATATACTACAGCAGTATACTGCAGACAATTACATGTCACTCCGTCCCCAGCCAGGTTTTACCCCTACTGAACACTGTTAGTAAAATGACTGGAGACTACTAGGCCTACTGTACCGTAGCAAGATGAAACAAAGTACGACACATATCGTTCTAAATTTATTTTCTGTTTAATTAGACAAGTGTTCTATTTTCTTATCACTAATCTGATGTAAACGTGGCATAATAGTTCAGTTCATTACCTTGAAATCATACACGGGTAAGTCCTGAGACAATTAACACATGTGAAGCGTCAGAGCTCCACACTTAGTCCGCCATTATTGTTTACGTTGTCCATGGTTGCGATCAAAGTAATAAGGAAGACGGAAGCGGTAGGTCGAAACTAATAAAATTCCGGGAAAAAATCCGACAGTCAAAAAATTACTACATCGATATTATATAGATATATCATATTAGATATCTTAATACTACATTCCTTCAGAGACATGTACATGTGTGTAGATGAGTGGAGTCAGAGTGGATGGAATCAGATTGGAGAAGAGAGTGATATCAATTCATAAAAGAGTGGGGGGTTTGCCATCTCAATTGTAATATGCAATACATGTATATGTAATTGTGCGACTGTAGAGTGTCATAGTCATGTCATTGGTTCATATTAAATAGTTATATATTGGTGTGGTTAACAATGTCTTTTAATGTTAAACATTCAAATTCACAATAGCACACATTGTTTTGGGTGCATTTTTTTTATATATAGACTGTTATACATATATCAATTAAACGTCAGACTCCTGTGGTATCATCCAAGCACAGGAGTCTGACTTACTCCAACAGTATTGGAGGTTTACACGCCGAGATACTTTTGATAGGAACCGTGTTACGTCACAGTCGGCAAAATCATATCAGATAGAAAAAAGGTCGACCAGCGGCCTCTTATGTTATAGGAGTGTAATAGGACGAGGAATAGTAATAAAAATAGTGCCGTCGCTGGGGCTCTTACCCGCGACCCTAAGCTCTCCAGCCCGATGCTCTACCGCTGAGCTAAAGGGAAATTCCCTACAGCTGACGCTTGTAAGGCAACCTAATCAATTAATGCACATCTTTTACAGGAGTAAAGTCTGACTAACACAGAGTGTCAGTGTTTTGTTTCAAAATGTGTCGAGAATAAAGAACTTATGACAAATAAATTAATGAAACATGTAGTGGAAATTTGATAACCAATTACACATTATAACTATAACAATCTGTATTAAAAATATACTCCTTATATATCTTTTTGTCTCGTCGCCAAAAAGTAGCGGAAGCAAGACTAAGGTGTTGCTTTTCCAGTGGTGGCATCTACATTATTTTTTTTTGTGTTTATGGTAAGTTAGTTTCACTAAAACTTAAGTGAAAGTATTTATAAGTGCTAGATCTAGGCCAACCAAACTTGGACCATGGATGCATCTTAGTTAGGAAGTACATCTCAAACCCATGCATCAAATGCTGGATGCTGCCTACCTTTCATGGTCTATTGTCTTTGTCAGCATCTCCATAAACATTAAGCTTAGGCTTTTAAGTTAGTTTAGAACTCTGAAACTATAAGTCCATCAACAACCAACTTGACATGTTCATTGATGGTCAAAGCGGGGCACAGGCATGACATATCAATCCGAATGGCTTGCTTTATAGTATAAGGGATATTAATTTGGGTTTGTCTGTCTGTCACGCTTCGTTTCTGTGCAATAACTACAACAAATGTTAACCAATTTTCTTTCAAACTTGGTCACATGCAGGGTTAAATGCCTTAAGGGCTCTGCCAAGTTCGATGACCACTTTCAGCGGACCCCATTTGGCGGAGTTATGGCCCCTTGAATAATGAAAAATCATATCTGCCGCGCAATGTTTACCGATTTTTTTCAAACTTTACTTAGTAACAGGGTTCAACACATTAAGGGCTCAGCCAAGTTTGACAACCACTTTAAACGGACTCCATTTGGCAGAGTTATGGCCCCTTGATTAACCAAAAACATCATTATCTGCAGTTTCCGCTTAATAACTCTAGCAAATATTAGCCAAATTCCTTCAAACTTGATAACATTGTTTGTGCTCCTCTGTCTTTCCAACCATCTCGGGCACTCTTTGGTTTTTCGTGTGATAATTGCTGTAGATATTGTTAAGATGTTTCAACCAAATTCCTTATGCACATCCAACTCATGCTAAGTTTGCCAACTGATGTGATTTGTGCATACAGTTTCCTGATCAGGAATTCTCAATACCATAAATCTCTTAATAATCCTAGTAATTTTTTGGTTCTTCTTTACACCAATTATGTCATGTTGCTTAATGTAATAATTAGGCCTGATCATTTGCATTTGAAAATTTTCAGATCATGGCTGTTAAAGTGTCATCTAATTGGAATCCCTGGGAACTCTTCAGAGAATCCCCAAAGGATCTAAAAAATACTGAAAATAGGAAGGCACTGCACACTGTTGCACGAGCTGACATCTCCTTATTCCAGTGGCACTGGTTACATTGTATGTATAAAGCTAGTAGAACAGAATGTTTCAAGGTGTCCCTTTTTAATGTGATAGAATATATTATACATTATACAACAGCTGTCTTGTCATGGCATTATCTCACTGAGACCATATTTGATTAATTTTTGTAAAATTGAAAAACATATTTATTAGGAAAACTTCATATTTATATGAATGTGTTACAAGGTATTGTTTCTTTCTTTCTACATCTGATCCCCTGTCAAATTATTGTTGCATAATAAATATTTTTATAATATATATGCCTGATGTATCAGCATCATACAGTTACGAAAAATACATTGTAATTTTCCTTGTTTTCAGTTTGATCCATCAGTGCAAAGACACATCGCAGCAAGAGTGACGAGATTTCAACACTTTTCGGTCACAAACAACTCAATTTCCAAAGTGTTTCTCCTGTACATACTGCCGATTTCTCTTACTTGTTATGTGTGCCACAAATATCGGGTAAGTAACAATGTTCAAGTCAGGTTGGCAATCATATGACATTATTATTCACTCCCTATGTTGAAAATCTATATATTTTCCAATTTACAAATGTACAGCAAAATCTTAATTTTTTACTCACTAACAATATGGCAATTTGTGAAGACTTTTTCTAAAAGCCTGTCAAAGTTGATTCAATAGCAATATGTTTAAAGTATTGTTTGGGGTGTGAATAAAATCAATCAATGTCGATAAAGTGTAAAGCAGTTTCATTTAAAAAAAACACACTAATTTTCTTGTCAAGGTCTGGTCCAAAATAATTCAGTAGGTTCAGAGGAACTAAGAGTTTTTGCAAACAATCAGCTTATTTCCTAATGTTTTGGGGAAAATGGACATATATTACTTTCCAGGAGAAGTAAAATAGGGTGGGGGCATAATTGTAGTCATCTACTCTGTTACTAGACATTTATCAAGAAGGGAAGGGACTTTTTTTGAAGTCAAATACAGTATGTTGCATGTACAAACTCTGCGTTTTCAGATATTTTTATAAATCTCTCAAGTGTGAAATTGATATAAAAAAGTTTCAATAAAAAAGTCATCTCTATTTCAAATATTCTCTAATTTTCTTGGGACTTGATGAGACTGATCTGAAAAACAAATTGGTCATGATGCATCCGACCAGCTTGCAGTTTGTATGGATATTGAATGTAAAGTTTGTTACCACTATTTCTTGGAAATAATTTCTATAACTATGGGTTCATGGTGAAACTTTCTATGCAATGTATGATCAATCCCCTTTAATTTGCTCCTAGTTGAGAATGCTCAAATCGGACATTGACGGTGTCAAAGTTTGAAAAAAGTGGGAGGAGGTTAATAGTGTAGACAGAATATAGACAGAATTTCAAAAGTTAAGGGGGATGTACATACAACATGTCTAACTCTGGACAAAAAGACTGTATAGATTAGAAGGACAAAAATGTTTTTCCTGACAGCCATCATGGAATTGCCATGTGGTGCTTGCTTTCATTACTTCTCTCCATAGACTAAATTAAAGGGATCCTGATGAAATTTGGTATGCATGGTCTTTTTTTGTTGCTGGTGGTGCAAGTTCAGATCAGATTTGTGAGATGGATTTGTAAAACTAGCATAAAACAAAACTGTCAAAGGTCATGTTACAATTTGATTTGCATGATCCCTTTAGTACCTGCACAAGTGCATTTTTTAAAAGAGAACATAGAAATGGAAATAAAACAATTTAACCTCCATATCAGAAATATTCCATGATCTTTCTTTGGTAGCTAGGTGCCAAAGTTCTTCTGGGATTTCTTGTTTTAAGACACCTGTGTTTTGTAGTTGGAGAAAAAATGTTATTCAAGGTTAGAATATTCAATCTTAACAAAACTGAAGTAACATAAATATGTCTTATGTTTTACAATCTATTTCAGGTTTGGTATGTCAACGGTATTGATTCAGGAGAAATTCCGCCGTCCAAACAGCCCAATAAATTCATGTGGTAGACTAAGTGTATCTACTCATTAAATCAATGACAGTGAAGTGAGCAATTTAAGTGGAATAATCAATTCGACTGGAGGAACACATTTTTCAGATTTTGTTTTAAGTGGATGCAGCTATCCTATTAAATGTATGAATAAAAGATATGCATGTGTGCACTGCTATTCCTGGTTGGATTTTTTATTATTATTTTGGAAATTTTACTGAATAGTTATGTACCAGTGGATTTATGTTTTGTGATGAACTTCCATTCATTCAGTTCATATTTCAGCAAAAGTATAAAAAAAAAAAACATCAACTTGTACAACATACATGGTTTGGTTTGGTTTAATTTTGTTTAACATCCTATTAACAGCTAAGGTAATTTATTATTCGGGAACCGTGGGGGACTATAGTTTTGCGTCATGTTCGACCGTCCGTCCTTCCCTATCCTGTCCGGGCTCTATCTCCTACACTACTTGTATTATTGATATAACATCAAACTCTTGTGGTCAGTTATATTACAGGATATGTTGGTAGCATCAGACAAAATGTTTGAAAAATACCATTGCATTGTATTTTTGAGATGGGAGTCACTGTTTCTGAGCAGCTGTTCAAATGCATCCATAATAATAATGTTTGAGTCAACAAGGGTGAGAAAATAAATATATACATGTATATCTATATGTTTTCTTCTGTTTTCGTTTTAAAAAAATGGTCATGACGACCAAACACTTCACTGAACCAGATGTGTGTAGGTTTATCACATATCAGTGGGCGCTGTTTTTAACAAGAGGCCCATGGGCCTTAACGGTCACCTGATATATTTATACACAGAGTTGATTTGCATGGTTTTTAACATGAACAGATATTATTATTCAAAGTGACAAAAAACAATAAAACCACCTTATTTAATATCTAGCATACAGATTTAAGACTAAAAAGTATTTGAAACTAGCACCTCCGATTCTAAACAAGGAAAATGAAGAAATTTTAGCACACTGACTCTTTTGGGCCCCACTCTACAGCCCTTGGGGGTAGGGCTGGCTCAAAATTTTCAAAGTATCAAACTGTCAACTCAGGGTTATAATTCCAATCAAGTTATTAACATGTAATATTCAAAGTATCATTTGCCATTATAAACCATAATAAAGTCAGGGCTGATATGTGCACACCATAAAACTGCTATCCAATACTGATAATGCTAACCCAAATTGAATTACTTCCAATGGAAATTAAACAAATGTTGGTCCAAAATGTGATTTCCCTATATAAACTATAGTAAAGTTTACCCCCTCCCCAGGGGTAAACGCAAGACCCAAGGGTCATGAAGTTCACAATTTTGGTAAAGCACATTAAGACCCTACCATCTATGAAGAGTATTTGATTCTACCATATCTGGGTCTTGAGGAGAAGATTTTTGAAATTTCAGTCACTTCAACCCTTTTTGGCCCCACCCATCAGCCCCTGGGGGTCAGTCAGGACTCATATGTGCATACTATCAAACTGCTACCTAATACTGATAATGCTAATCTAAATTGAATTACTTCCAATGGAAATTAAACAAATGTTGGTCCAAAATGTGATTTCCCTGTATAAACTATAGTAAAGTTTACCCCTCCCCAGGGGGAAACGTGAGACCCCAGGGTCAAGAAATTCACAATTTTGGTAAAGCACCTTAAGACCCTTCCATCTATGAAGAGTATTTGATTCTACCATACCTGGGTCTTGAGAAGAAGATTTTTGAAATTTTAGTCAATTCAACCCTTTTTGGCCCCACCCCCCAGGCCACTGGGGGCTGGGGACCATATAATTCACAATTTTGGTTGACCTTTGGCCATGGAAGGTTTCTGCAAAATTTCATTGAAATTGGTTCAGGGTTTTTTGAGAAGAAGTCGAAAATGTAAATTGTTTACAGACGGACGCCGGACGCCGGCGGACAAAAGGCGATCGCAATAGGTCACTTGAGACTTTGTCTCAGGTGACCTAAAAATCATGCTGAAATTTTTGAAGATGTTTGCAACAACAGTCACATAACAATTTATGTTCTATCAATTAAACCAGGTTAAGCACTTTCTTTGATACCTAGACAGATTATATGGGACTGACAGATGGAGAACCTAATCCTCCATGTGAGTACTAGTAGGTGTACTCCAAACAAGTGATGTGTGGTATAACAAGAGGCCCAAGGGCCTTAGCGGTCACCTGAGTTAAATCATAGGTACTGGTAGCTATATTTTATTGTTTAGATGTGATGTGGAAATCAGCATGTAAACTAAGTGAAATACAATACTTGTCATGTCATCAAAGGATAAGAATTTTAAAATATTTGTAAATGTTCCCTTTGGGGCCCCGCTCTAGCCCCTGGGGATGGGGCAGGAATTCCAAGTTTACAATGCATGTGATACCGTCATCCACCAAAGATGATTCTGACCAAGTAAAAATAATTTCCAACAGAAAATTGTCAAACTATACCCAAAAGTGTTGTTTCCCTATATAAACTATAGTAAACTTTACCCCCTCCTCTCAGGGGTCCTGAAATTTTCAATTTAAATAAAGCCCCTGATGATCTTTCCATCCATGCAAAGAAAATGACTGTAGTATAGGACTGAGTCTGGGGAAGAAGATTTTTGAAAAATTGGTTAAATTTCCCTTTGGGGCCCTGCCCTGGCCCCTAGGGTTGGGGTAGGAATCCCAATTTTACAATTTGGTAGCTTCTTCTACCAAGGACGATTCTGACCAAGTTTGAAAAAATTCCATCCACTGGTTCTTGAGAAGAAGTTGATAAAGTAAAACGTTTACGCACGACGCACGACAATGGACGGAAAGTGATTGGAATAGGTCTCTTGAGCAAAGCTCAGGTAACCTAAAAAGGGTTATAACTCTGCATAAACCTGTGGCTAACGAGATCTGATTTTAGTATGTGACTCTCCACATTCCGAAAAGTACTCACATAACCAAAAGTGTTGTTTCCCTATATAAACTATAGTAAACTTTCCCCCCTCCTCTCAGGGGTCCTGAAATTTTCAATTTAAATAAAGCCCCTGATGATCTTTCCATCCATGCAAAGAAAATGACTGTAGTATAGGACTGAGTCTGGGGAAGAAGATTTTTGAAAAATTGGTTAAATTTCCCTTTGGGGCCCTGCCCTGGCCCCTAGGGTTGGGGTAGGAATCCCAATTTTACAATTTAAAACTATTTTCCTTCAAGGATAATTCTCACTAAGTAAGAATAATTTCCAACAGAAAATTGTCAAAATGTACCCAAAAGTGTTGTTTCCCTATATAAACTATAGTAAACTTTACCCCCTCCTCTCAGGGGTCCTGAAATTTACAATTTAAATAAAGCCCCTGATTATCTTTCCATCCAAGCAAAGAAAATGACTGTAGTATAGGACTGAGTCTGGGGAAGAAGATTTTTGAAAAATTGGTTAAATTTCCCTTTGGGGCCCTGCCCTGGCCCCTAGGGTTGGGGTAGGAATCCCAATTTTACAATTTAAAACTATTTTCCTTCAAGGATAATTCTCACTAAGTAAGAATAATTTCCAACAGAAAATTGTCAAAATATACCCAAAAGTGTTGTTTCCCTCTATAAACTATAGTAAACTTTTCCCCCTCCTCTCAGGGGTCCTGAAATTTTCAATTTAAATAAAGCCCCTGATGATCTTTCCATCCATGCAGAGAAAATGACTGTAATACCTCTGAGTCTGGAGAAGAAGATTTTTGAAATATTGGTTAATTTTCCCTTTTGGGCCCCGCCCTGGCCCCTAGGGTTGGGGTAGGAATCCCAATTTTACAATTTGGTAGCTTCTTCTACCAAGGATGATTCTGACCAAGTTTGAAAAAATTCCATCCACTGGTTCTTGAGAAGAAGTTGATAATGTAAAACGTTTACGCACGACGCACGACAATGGACGGAAAGTGATTGGAATAGGTCACTTGAGCAAAGCTCAGGTAACCTAAAAAGGGTTATAACTCTGCATAAACCTGTGGGTAACGAGATCTGATTTTAGTATGTGACACTCCACATTCCGAAAAGTACTCACATAAACAACTTGGAAATTCTAGGTGGCCGAGTATACAAGATATACCCTGGACAAAGTTTTTAAATCATGTACATGTAAATCTATTAAAATTTAATAAATTAATTTAAAAGTTTAAGACATTAAGTGTCTTTAAGGCCAGTATTTGGCTGGAAATGGTTTCTATTTTAATGTAAAATGTACTTTTGATACCTAAAGGTGAATTGATATGACACACTGTAATAAAATATCTTCCTATTATTTACTACAATGTACCACTGTCCTGGTTGTACTGTGTACTATAACAATATGAATAGCAAGGTCATCCTATCAGGGGTCAACCATATACACTAATCAGCATGTATTAATTACACACCTGAATACGGTACAGTGCACACCACCTTAGTGTGACTGATGTACACACCAAGATTCATGATCCTAGCTTAACTGCAGGCAAAGTTATGCTCCGGACACGACATTTTAGGAAAGGGCAACAACTCTGTAATTAAGGGGATGTGGGCCCTGCATTTGGTACCGTGCACATTGCCTTAGTATGACTAATGTATATACCAAGGGAAAGTTTTATGGTCCTGTCTTTAATGCAGGCACAGCATTTTAGCAAAGGACAATAACTCTGTAAAGGTTGTGAGCCCTAAATTTGGCACAGTGCACATTGCCTTAGAATGACTGATGTATACACCAAGTTTCATGATCCTATCTCAAATGCAGGCAAAGCTATGCTCTGAACACGACATTTTAGAAAAGGCCAACAAAGGGCAATAACTCTGTAAATAAGGGGTTGTGGGTCCTTACTATGGCACAGTTCACATCATCTTAGTATGAGTGATGCACACACCAAGTTTCATGATCCCAGCCTAAATGTGGGTAAAGTTATTTCATCATTCTTTTCCCAAAAGAAGACAATGCATTTGATGAATTAAAACAAAACACTTTTATTACATTTTAATCTTTAAACTCAGTTCAGATACTTCACTGTCTGTTTTCGTTCCTTATAGTTCCCAATATGACTGACTAATCACACACTTACATGTACACTTTCAGTCCCTCCATGTATTGGCTAACCAATCACTGGTCGACCTTTTTTGAGCACTTCCCATACTGAAGCAAAGTTTAGAATGCCCTCCGATTTATACCCACACAGGAACTGTATGGGGACATCAGCACTCTGGTGAAGTTCATACAAAAAACCAAACCTGGACACATCATGTCGCTGCAGACACAAAGAAGGCTTTTCTGAAGTCAAGACCATACTTACACTCGGGAGATCTCCATCTGTGTAAAACTTGACATACACCAGACCATACAAGCCCAGTGATAACTTTTTACCTAACTCATATACAAAGTTGTCGGGGGTGACTTGTAGCCAGGATATGGTTGTACTGGGACTACCTCCGTTGTGATAGAAAACAGACGAAACTAAAATGTCACCATGCTTTACACAGACTGATTGTATTTTCAAATCATAATTTAGTTTTTTTAAATTAGACAAATGTTCCAAATGATTTTTCCCAGTTACATGAAATGACAAAATCCTTTTCATAAAGATGTCTTTCATCTTACAAACAAAAAAGTAATGAATTCTTTCATTATAATAACATGTATCTAAAATATCAACAAATAAATCAGTTTCACATTCCTCTGGAAAATCCTGATAAAGTTGAAGATCCTCATCCGTATAGTGATTTACTTTCCAGAAGGTGTTGTCTTTGTTTACTCTCCAAACAATATTGAAGTATAATTGACTATCGTGAACAAACATGTTTAGGGCTGTTATCCAATACCCCTGATTAGTAAGCTCTCCAATGTGGGTACTCAAATCCTTATACTGTAGAAGTACACATACAATCTGTACCCTATCCTCGGACACAACTTTATAAAAGTTATCTGCCCTTAGTTCAGACAGGGACGGCATCACAGGATTCCACATTGGCAGATGTGGAACATGACTCAATGCAAATTTGACAAGGCCATTTAAATCCATGTCACGTGACCAAGAGTTGAGTAAGAGGACCCAGCTCAACCCTGACCTATGGTGCAAAAAGGTTGTTGATGTGCCTTCCATAGCCCCTGTGTGACCCCAGCTGTGACCTCCGTGCTGAACATCCAGTCCAAGGCCATACCACTCCTCTCCACTTTCATAATTAGGTCGCTGCAGCATTCTTTTGAATGTTTCTGGTCTCAAAATATGCATACTTGGGCTGTTGAAAAAAAATATCAAAATATACAAAACATATAACCATCTCACTGTGATATAAATTTTACAACAGAACAAATATTATGGTATTTAACATCATTTATCATTATATATAATTGACATTTAACTTGTAAGTTTTCTTTTTATGAAACATTGAATTGATTCTTATATATATACGTGTATTTTTTGCACTCTTAAATTGATGTTGACACCCAACAGTCTTGAAGCTATACAAACTGTAACTTGAACATAGAAGTGGTACTTGGAGTACATACTCATTGACAGTAAGTCTGTCAAACAGAACAAGGAGGTGTCCTGCCGAGGCCACCCAGCCTCCATACGACCCAGTGTCCTCCATCAGGAAGGAGCCATACTGAGGGGTCACCAGCCCCTCCCCGGGTATCACAGATGGAGCCAAACTAGGTTCACGGTTACTGTAATACTCAACCTGTGTGGATATAAATAAAGCTATTTCAATCATAAACAGTTTATATTATCTGAGCAGATTACGACAAAGATGTGATTAGTGAAATTTGAGCCATTTTATAAATATATTAAACTTCTATGTGGCAGATCAATAGTTGTCTGCTGAAAACCCCCATCTTTTAAATTGGTTGGTTACTAAAACCTGTGAGTGTAAAAATGTGCATACTCTTAAACTTAGTTTGGCAATAGATATTTTTAGTATCTATAGAAAAAATATTTAGGAGACTGTCTCCTTATTAAAATAACCTCTGCAATGTTCAAAAACTGCACTTCAACAAAATCCTAAACAAAATTCTAGTTACTTCTTTATGAGACCATGCAGATAGATTGCCTCTTCAAAGTCCTAAATATATCATGTCTGCAAATTAAGTGCAGCAGACAGATTCCATTTTCAAGTTCGAGGCAGATTCCCACTAGAAAACATTTTACTTGTGCAAAGTCCTATGTATAGCTGAACTACATGTATCTCTACAAACAGACTGACAGATTACCTCTTCAGGGTCCTCAACAGACTTCTTGGCTGTGCCAACATACATGTCCCTGGTGATCTCCCCCAGACATTCATGCACCAGGTCCTCATACTTCAGCCCCAGTCTCTTCTCTAGAGCCATCCCCAGCACCAGGTAGCCAAGATTAGAATAGGCATGCCGTTTACCTACAACATGTAGTCAGATGAACGTACATATGTATCCACCTCATCCACATACAAAATACATCTAAGCATGACCTTTTCATTTAAAGGGACATCACGTGAAAAGGCGTTTTTTTTTTAATGAATGTATGTATTGTATGCACTTCCACTTATGTTACCACGCTATCCCCATATTCATAGTCCGTTCCAAATGTCCAGTTTGACCACTTGAATTGTTCGGGAAAGCCCTGCTAAAAATAGCGCCAATAACGTCACCTGACTAGGCAGTAAACACAAGTGGTGCGAGCGNGCAAATCAAACAGAAAGACTGAAAACAAAACCAATACCAGCCAGAATTTGAAGACTTACAGTACATATAAAAAGATATCAACTTTTATAATAACTTGTGTGATAAAACTGAGCACCACAATCATAGTGAATGGACTTGATTCAATTACAACTGTCAAAAGTGGGGAGCTGGTTTGTACAAATGTAAGCAGTTATAATAAATTACAATAAGAATGAAAAAAAAAAAAAAAAAACTTTTAAATTATATGTGAAATTTTTGTAAATTCTACTCTCCCTATCTTAAAATTTAAACTTTCAACCTAGATTTTTTCACAATTCCTGAGTCAAGAAATGAGATAAAGTCTGAAAAAGTCTCTCTTTTGAAAAAAAAATTAAAAAAAAAGTTCTGGTGGAAATTTTCAGCATTTTAATTTAAATCATATTTTCTTAAAATTACAGTCATATAATCTGAAAGGATTAAAAAAAAAACACATTATGAATTAAATTATAAACATGATGTATAACAAAAAAAATGTTTTAACAGAGTACTCCTTAATTTAACATCATATTGAATAGTTTTAATGATTTTAATAGAGGGCCTACCGTAACAGCTGGAGGCCGAGAAAGTATGGCCACTGTTTAAAAAAAATTGGCTACTGTAATTCAAACATGGCTACTTTTTTGGCTACTGATTTTTTAGGTCCAGGGTGAGCCCTGCCTTATTTCTGTAACTTTTACATTCCGAAACGGCAGGCTTACAACAGAATCACAATCATGATTGCACAGTGAATTTGTATAAACAATGACCTGGAGAGAACTGGAGCTTGCGTGACATCATGTAACTTAGCAGTGTTTCCTTGGCTGTGGGCTCCTGTCCAGGACAAACCTTGTCTAGTTTCCAAAACACTGGATCGCCCACCCTATCTCTATCCCAGCCAGATGAGTGCTGAAGCAGATGTTCTACAGTGATCCTGGTCAGTCGACGGTCACCCTTACTGGACGGCTTATAACTAGTCACACCTGTTATAGATACATCAACAGCAGCAACTTAACCAATTGTCAAGCAATGCTTATCAACTCCCCCCTCCTCATTCCACAGGAATACGGGTCTAAAACTAACTTTCTATTAAAAGCAACAAGAACCTGCAGAGCAATCCCACCCACACTTTCAGTACAGGAGTAAGGGGTGAGGAGGACAAAAATTTCCCCCCACCTTTAGAACATGTTATATCCATTTTTTATTATTATGATTTGATAGAGACAGATACGTACTATTAGAAGGTTGGAGAATCTTAAGTAGATACAATATAGTTGTTTAATTTTGCGCGGCTAATTTTTTGCTGATATCCTGATCAGAACTAGTTCTGGGGGATTAATTTCATGCAACACCACCTTGTCAATAATATTCACCTACAATTTTAATTCATGGTATTAATATTTCCTGTGTATTTAATTTCACACTCTTGTTGATGAATATAGCAAACGCAAGTCCCCTGTGAATAGTACCATCTATATAGTTGCATGTACAAATTTGATTGTGGAACATCAGTGGTAATGAGAAATGAAATCAGGTAGTTGTTACAGCTAGAATATTATTGGAAGGTAATGTTCACATTAATGTTCACATTAAACTTCCAATAATATTCTAGCTGTAACAACTACCTGGGTAATGAAAAATAAAATCATTCAGTACATTCAATACACCATATCTGTATCTCCTATTACTTTTGACAGTTGTATAAAAACACTATATACATGTGAAGGCTTGGCCCATTATATCATACAAACATTCTGTCCTGTAGTGATGATACTTAAATGTATAAAGAAATGTACGTAAATGTACCCTTAAAATAAATCCATGAAGCATGGTACAATTTAAAACACATTCATATGATTTGTATATACTGTAAATTGGGACAGCTGGTGTTTCTTTTTCAAAATGGACAACACTATAAAGGATCCTTCCAGATTTTATATATGTACCAGGATATGATCATTTAGATTTGTTTGATTATTCTTTTATCTAATAATGGGTTTGTAGAATCAAACCACAAGCTTCCAAATTCATTTCAGATTAAATCTTAAATTATATTTGTTGTAGGTAGTTTTATTGTATATATCTATTGTACCTGGTATTCTCATTATGAAATAGCATAATATTACATAATACATGAAAAAATTACGTGAACTTGGCCTCATGCCTATCTGTTGACAATCTTTAACCACCCTGTACTCCTACGTATATATACAGGGTAAGACAGTAACTGCTTTTGTGGATAATACTTAAACTCTCAGAGATAGGCTGATTTTCCTTTAAATGACTTCCTTCTTATGAATTAAAAACCCTTTATATATAATATATTTTTTAACATTGCAATATTTCCAAAGTGTACAAATGTAACAGGGACTTTGGTCCATAAATAAAGACCTGTTAGTCTTCTAAAATGAAGGTGATATGGATGGATGCATATATATATGTAGCGGGTAGCGGAACTGGGCTGAGTCAATCATCGGCAACCAAATAGCTAAATTGGTAGAGCGTCCATCTAGAGTCCCAGGTTCAAACCCTGGTCTGGTCGTGAATTTTTCCATCTCCTGTTAAAGTACATGCGGTGCCTGTGATCATGCAATCCTTGTTTCAAACATTTGGTGTACGCTTGGCAAAGGGACATTTAGTGATGCTTTCCGGGCGAAAGCCAGAGAAAAAGGAGGGAGGAATGTAGCAGAACTGGACTGCATGAGTTGATCATCGTCGACCTGCAGGTGGCTCAATTGGTAGAGCGTCTGTCTAGAGTTCGGAAGGTCCCAGGTTCAAACCCTGGTCTAGCCAGTTACACATATACAGGATCATCTGTGAGAAATTCTGTTAAATCATTTGGCCTTACACACATCACTGACAAGGTATGTAAACATAATTCAACAATTACTATAGCAGTCACGTACAGATATGTTAACCTAAGACAACAATTCATAACTCTACCTTTTGTCCCAAAAACTGTGTCGTTAAGTGAGAGAAAACCCCTTTCACACTGCTTCATTGTAACGATGGCTGTGATTGGTTTACTGATACTGGCCAATCGGAACTTGGAGTTAGATAAAACCAGTTTTCCTGGTCCTGCTGTACCATAGCCTGACAAATAGAAAACAGTGATACGTACCTACTTCAAAATTGGGATTTATTATCAATTCATGAATTGGTGTGTAAAGGTTATAAATTAAAATATGATTAATATGCTAAGAAAAGTGTGTCTTAAATTGAGTATGTGATCTGTTCTTGTTTACCAGTGACATAAACAAACACATACTCATCAGATTAGATCTGAGCAAATTCTGATGTTAAATTAATATATGGTAATTCCTGTAAACTGTTTATTTCAATAATTAAAGACAGGTTTTACCTTGCACATACACCGGCTTTCCATGCAGACTAATGGCCAGAGAAGCTCCTGGAATACTCTGCTCTTTCATGAAGCCAGTGATCACATTGTCAAATGTTTCAAAATAAGCAGGAGTATTTTCATTGGGAGAGATTTCTAAAAATGAAACAATGAATAAAAGAAATATGCTACTGTCAGATAAAATGTACAAAATGACCAAGACAGATCTATACGATATAGACGGTCATGATAAAATGTAGTACCAATACCAGTGTACAGGTCATAGAAAAGTTGCTGCCAGCTGCATTTATTTAAATATCTTTTCTTTTTAAAATGCTTTACATCTGGACTACATGTCCTCTTTAAATATACCATGTAGAGTGTAAATTGCAGCTCTGTCCGCAAAAGTAATGCACCTAAACAAGTTTAAAACAGATATTGAAATTGTAATACATTATTTATATTATATATATGGGCAAAGAAGTAATAACGACAGTGCAGATAAAGAAACTTGTCAAATTTCCAGGGCAATCAAGACAGGAACAATTGAAAAATAAATGTTTATTCAATGGAAATCCATAGCTTTACATAATACAAATGTTGCCAAAAGTGACTGCATGGTTCAAAAGAGATGTCCGTACCATCACTAACCAATACCTTGGCCAAATAGATTTTATATCAGATCTAGAGCTGGTTAAAAAAATCAGAATCTACTATGAAAAAAATAGGTGATTTGTTCAAAACCTTCCCGTGGGCTATTCTCCAAATATATATATGATATTGTATATCTGCATGTGTAATACAATGTAGTTAAGATCTGAAAATCCTTTTCTTGCAACATTTTATTTACAAGTTAAACATCCAAATACAGTACATTTTGTTAATTGTTCTTCAAGTCAAGTCTAATGATATCTGCCATCATACTAAAATTATTATCTTTTTGTTTTTATTATGTTTCAATGCCGATATACAATGCATTTAAAATTTAAAAAAATACACACCAAGTCTGACACTGTAGTTGTGGTCCTCGACTGTATAATCCATTCTTCTTTGCATCCGTGAGTTACCTTTAGGAATTTAGTGTTTTATAGACCTGCATAAAGTTTGCATATATGGAATTTAATACATTTTGAATTTCATTACCAAACTGATTCATCAACATTATTATCATATTTTTGTATGTACTACTAGTATAACATTTACTGTAGTGCATTCCATTTGTGCACAAGCATGTTCCAAATTACTTTCACATTTCCAAAACAAAACAAATAAATAAAAACACCCATGTAAAGAGATACAATATTGAACAAAGGCGTTGAATACAGACATTCCTGTACTCTGTCTTTTCGGTTTCAAGTTTTTTGGTGGTTTACAAAGTTGTTTCGATGATTTTAGAAATTTCATACTATTGTCCTTTGTGATGCTGATTTTATAATTTAAGGTTCCTCAGCATATTTTGTCTTTACAAAATAACAGGTTAACTGAAATGACTAGGATGTCAGGGTACCCAAAATCGAACACTTTTTAAAGAAAAATATTAAAATTTCCTATTAAGTTTCTGAAATCCAACTTTTTTATTATAATGAAGCAATACATTATGCCTTCAATTTCTGTATTTCTTGGGTATCAACAGCAAATGTGTCTATTTATAGAGCTCATTAAAGTCAGTCAGATTCAATTGAAATTTTAAGCTCAGGTTGGTTCAATATAACCGACAGCAATTAAAATAATTTTCGTCATTTAATAAAGTTTTGACAAATTTTAGTCATTCATATAGTTTTCCATGCTTAGAAATATAATAGGATATTTTTGTTTTGCGCACCATACTGTTTTCCGGGAATTTTTTTCATTTCATTTTTCAATTGAGTTTATAAATGAGCACTTTTAAAATGTATAAGACTTGTATGCTCAAAATGCATAAAACTACATAAATCTTGATAAAGAATATTTACCATTAATTTTAATTTGCAAAATTAAAAATGCTGCATCATATATTATATATATATCCTTTTAAAAGTGTTCCATTTTGGGTACCATTCCATTTTGGTACCCTCACTCTAGATTTCCCAGGTGTTATAGCTCCGTTTCTATTTTACTTTTTTTGATATTATAAAAAGAAAATGATATTTTATGCGTAAATGTAGTTCGCAACCCATTCTTTATTACTTTCAGTACCTTTAACTCGGTTAAAATGTATTTTTAAAGGCGTCCGATTGCGCAAGGAAAATCGGTTGGACCACAGGGGCTGTATAGACTTATATGATAAAATTAGCTAGAAATACCTCATGTAAGTCTATACAAGCCCCTGTGGGCAGGTGGTTGGACTCGGGAGTTGTTTTCATTGTAACAATGATTGTTTCTTCCATTTTACTGATTGGGTGGGTACTGGGTGACGTCACCGTGAAAGGTCTTATTAGCATTTGACACAGTTATGACCATGAAACAAATTACTTACATGCTTATATTCCGTCAAAGTCAGTTCTGACTAACTGGAAAATGTAAACTTCCGTTAAAGGGAAGTAATTCTGAGTGGTAAAAACCACTTGACAACAACAATGCCGTGAGCTTGCTGAAAAATGTATAATCACTAATCGTGCTGTCGAGAGGCGTTTGTAGCTAAAGGCATCTTCTTTTGGGTTGTAAGGAATGTAATACTCAAATGAACATCATGACTAGCAGAATTATTTGGGCTCAAATACAGGTAAGACATAATATTTTGAGTTCGTTTCAATCGGACGATTCGCCCAGAATATCAACAACCATTTCTTGTTTTGCGGACAATTCAACCATTATGTGGCTGTACTATGTTCAAATAGACAACTGTATTCATTTTACAACCCAGAAGGAAATCCAAATATTAGTAAGGTGGTTAACCTCGGATTGTACAGTCTAAGTATCGTAATTAGTAGATGTACAATGTACAGGTGATGTAATGATGGGTAGGCTAGGAGTGTCACTATCCTATTTCTAGCTAACTGTCCCAGAAGAGCCTCATTTTATATGGTCTACTCAGTGAATGTATGGTGTCCAGTTATGATAGGCAGGCCTATAGACCTCCAGCTGGCTCTAGTGTATACATATGGTGCTGGGCAGGCTTTTATATATAGACCTTAAGACTCGGACGTATACACATGGTGCTTGGCTGAGGCATTAGACCTCAAGGCTCTGACGTATAAACATGGTGCTGGGCAGGCTTTGGACCTCTATAGGCTCCGACGTATACACATGGTGCTGGGCAGGCTTTGGACCTGAAGGCTCTAGTGTATACATATGGTGCTCGGCAGGCTTTGGACCTGAAGGCTCTGACGTATACACATGGTGCTGGGTAGGCTTTGGACCTCTATAGGCTCCGACGTATACACATGGTGCTGGGTAGGCTTAAGACAGTGATGATGATGATCCAGCTCTATTGTTATACACATTGTACTGAGCAAGCTTTATATCTCAAGGCTCTGACGTATACACATGGTGCTGGGTAGGCTTAAGACATCCAGCTCTATTTTTGTTATACACATGGTGCTGAGCAAGCTTTATATCTCAAGGCTCTCACATTATATGTATAGTGTTGGGCAGGCTTTAGACCTTCAGCTCTAATTTATATGCATGGTGCTGGGCAGGCTTTAGACTTCAGCTTTATTGTTATGCACATGGTGCTTGGCAGGCTTTATACCTCAAGGCTCTGATGTTATATGTTAGGTGCTCGGCAGGCTTTAGACCTTCAGCTCTGACGTATACACATGGTGCTAGGCAGGCTTAGTTCAGACAGTGATGATGATGATCCAGCTCTATTGTTATACACATGGTACTGAGCAAGCTTATATCTCAGGGCTCTGACGTATACACATGGTGCTTGGCAGGCTTTGGACCTGAAGGCTCTGACGTATACACATGTTGCTGGGCAGGCTTTGGACCTCAAGGCTCTGACGTATACACATGGTGCTGGGTAGGCTTTGGACCTCTAGGCTCTGACGATACACATGGTGCTGGGTATAGGCTTAGTTAAGACAGTGATGATGATGATCCAGCTCTATTGTTATACACATGGTACTGAGCAAGCTTATATCTCAGGGCTCTGACGTATACACATGGTGCTGGGTAGGCTTTAGACCTTAAGGCTCTGACGTATACACATGGTGCTGGGTAGGCTTAAGACATCCAGCTTTTTGTTTGTTATACACATGGTGCTGAGCAGGCTTTATATCTCAAGGCTCTGACATAATATGTATGGTGCTGGGCAGGCTTCAGACCTTCAGCTCTAATGTATATGCATGGTGCTTGGCAGGCTTTAGACTTCAGCTTTATTGTTATGCATATGGTGCTGGGCAGGCTTTATACCTCAAGGCTCTGACGTTATATGTATGGTGCTGGGCAGGCTTTAGACATCCAGCTCTATATTTATACACATGGTGCTGGGCCGGCATTACTGCCATTAGACCTCTTGGCTCTGACGTACACGTATGGTGCTTGGTAGGCTCAAGATCTCCAGCTCTATTGTTATACTGCTAGGCAGGCTTAGTTCAGACAGTGATGATGATGATCCAGCTCTATTGTTATACCCATGGTGCTGGGTAGGCTTTGGACCTCTAGGCTCTGACATTTACACATGGTCCTGGGCAGGCTTTAGACCTGAAGGCTCTGACGTATACACATGGTGCTTGGCAGGCTTTGGACCTGAAGGCTCTGACGTATACACATGGTGCTGGGTAGGCTTTGGACCTCTAGGCTCTGACATTTACACATGGTCCTGGGCAGGCTTTAGACCTGAAGGCTCTGACGTATACACATGTTGCTGGGCAGGCTTTGGACCTCAAGGCTCTGACGTATACACATGGTGCTTGGCAGGCTTTGGACCTGAAGGCTCTGACGATACACATGGTGCTGGGTAGGCTTTATACCTCAAGGCTCTCACGTTATATGTATGGTGCTGGGCAGGCTTCAGACCTTCAGCTCTAATGTATATGCATGGTGTTTTGCAGGTTTTAGACTTCAGCTTTATTGTTATGCATATGGTGCTGGGCAGGCTTTAGACTTCATCTTTATTGGTATATGGATGGGGCGCTTGGCATGCTTCAGACCTTCAGCTCTAATGTATATACATGGTGTTGGGCAGGCTTTACACTTCATCTTTATTGTTATACACATGGTGCTGGGTAGGCTTTATACCTCAAGGCTCTCACGTTATATGTATGGTGCTGGGCAGGCTTCAGACCTTCAGCTCTAATGTATGTACATGGTGCTTGGCAGGATTTAGACTTCAGCTTTATTGTTATATGTATGGGGTGCTTCGCATGCTTCAGACCTTCAGCGCTAATGTATATACATGGTGTTGGGCAGGCTTTACACTTCATCTTTATTGTTATACACATGGTGCTGGTTGGGCTTTATACCTCAAGGCTCTGCTGTTATATGTATGGTCCTGGGCAGGCTTTAGACTTCAGCCCTATTGTTATATGTATGGGGTGCTTGGCGTGATTCAGACCTTCAGCGCTAATGTATATACATGGTGCTTGGCAGGGTTTTAACTTCAGCTTTATTGTTATATGTATGGGGTGCTTGGCGTGATTCAGACCTTCAGCGCTAATGTATATACATGGTGTTGGGCAGGCTTTACACTTCATCTTTATTGTTATATGTATGGGGTGCTTGGCGTGATTCAGACCTTCAGCGCTAATGTATATACATGGTGCTTGGCAGGTTTTAGACTTCAGCTTTATTGTTATGCACATGGTGCTGGGCAGGCATTACTGCCATTAGACCTCCTGGCTCTTACGTACACACATGGTGCTTGGTCTACTCAGTGAATGTGTATACATGGTGCTGGGCAGGCTTTATACCTCAAGGCTCTCACGTTATATGTATGGTGCTGGGCAGGCTTCAGACCTTCAGCTCTAATGTATATGCATGGTGCTGGGCAGGCTTTATACCTCAAGGCTCTGACGTTATATGTATGGTGCTGGGCAGGCTTTAGACCTTCACCTCTAATGTATATACATGGTGTTGGGCAGGCTTTAGACTTCATCTTTATTGTTATATGTATGGGGTGCTTGGCATGCTTCAGACCTTCAGCGCTAATGTATATACATGGTGTTGGGCAGGCTTTAGACTTCATCTTTATTGTTATACACATGGTGCTGGGCTTCAAGGCTCTAATGAATACACATGGTGCTGGGCACATGGAGTATGTAATTTAAAAAACTATTTATTATGATGGAAATGTTTTTCTGAAAGTTAGAAAGGTTTTTCACTAATTCCCATCTGATTCGGACTGGATGGTACAGTGATATTGTATGTCATTCTGTTCTGATGTCTAGTACAATCAATTATGTAACTATATAGTTTGACCTTGCCATAGATGAAATTATCCTGAGTCACATTATTTTCGTGTAAAATGATTATTAATCAACATGTGATTTTTTTCTTTCTTTCTTTAAAGTTGTTTTGAGTACATGATGTACGGAAGGAATGCCTCCCTAAGGATGAGGACAGAGGTAGAGTAGAACATCATTTGTGCCTCGCCATGGAGTATGTTAAATCCTGGAACCAGGATGAGTCGCAGACAGAAAGTGGCAGGACAAAGAACCTTGAGATACTGGGGTCAGGTCAAGGTCACATCATCCCAAACTCAAAGTTCACCCCTCATGCTCCTCAGGCTCCTCACACCCCACACAGCCGCCCAACAGGTCGACCCCCGTCTAGAGCCAGGAGTGCAAAGCGACGGGTGGACATGTTCAGGGCTGCAGAGTAAGTAAAGTTCCATATCATAGACTGAAGCTAAGTAGGTGTAGGACCATAAAGACTAGAGTACACACTTGTATCAGGATATCACAAGGTATTGTGAAGTATTGAACACAATTGCTCTGCTGGTCAGATTCTACAAGATTCACATATTGTAGTTAAAGATCTACTGGTTAATTGTTTCTGTTTTTTTGTTATACAAACTACTCATATGTATCTTATGTTAAGAATTTAAGGTTAAGAAATAGTCTATATTAACTGGACAAGAAAACTGTTTCATCTGATCAATACCTGGTGTAATGACAGTAAAATGTTACATATACCTAGTATATCAATAGGGGCAACATTTCGTGTTTCTTCGCCCTTCTATATAGGAGGTTAAACCATTCCTTTGGGCTCCACCATCATGTGCCTAGTACAATATATTGCAAGTATCGTAACTCTATGACTTACTTTATGAAACATAGAGCTGGAAACAAATAGATGACATTAAACGATTATTTTTAGATTTTGACATGCAATGTCAACCCTATTATAACAAAGTTTGAAATATTGACAAGTTTGGGTAACAAACAGGTCACATGAAAAGTCACATGATCATCACAAGGAATATGTAATGGGCAGATCTTTATATGAATTACTATCAGTTTCTTGCATATTTGCTCAAGTCATAATCATTTTATAATGTAATTATTATAAGATTATCATCTGTTAAGTGAGCAAGTTGAAGAATATCATAAAGTGTAAATACCTAGTTCTTTTCCTAAGGGATCCTGACGGTGATAACACAGAAGCAATACTTGCACAGATGGAGCAGGTAAACCAGGCTCCGCGAGACCTACCTATGTACACAGGATGTGACTGTGTCACACGAACACACAGTGCCAAGCAGGACACCAAACAGTCACCAGAACCCACTGTTGAGAGTTATGGAGATGAGGATTCTAACTCGGATAATGAAGGTAATGTCTAAAAAGGGTATGTGTGTATATTTATTACAAATTATGGATATCTTCTCAAAATAAAATGTGTGTATATAAACTAGGGTACATTGTAACTGATTTGTAACTCACTTGACACAAATCTTATTAAACGTATTATGTTAAGGTCATCATGGATCAAGTTTTAACACTGTTTGGGGTCAAAGGTAAACATGGAATCTTTAAAAACTTATACAATTTTCCTTCTTAAGCCACATAGTGTACAGAAATAAAATGTTATATAAAGGAGGGGTGTTTTCTGTATCCCAGTATTATGTTGTGTGTGACAAGGTGAGGTAGATGTTTCTATATCTCAGTATTATGTTATGTTTGACCAGGTGAGGTAAATGTTTTTGTATCTCAGTATGATGTTATGTTTGACCAGGTGAGGTAGATGTTTCTATATCTCAGTATTATGTTGTGTGTGACAAGGTGGGGTAGATGTTTCTATATCTCAGTATTATGTTGTGTGTGACAAGGTGGGGTAGATGTTTCTATATCTCAGTATTATGTTATGTTTGACCAGGTGAGGTAGATGTTTCTATATCTCAGTATTATGTTATGTTTGACCAGGTGAGGTAGATGTTTCTATATCTCAGTATTATGTTATGTTTGACCAGGTGAGGTAGATGTTTCTATATCTCAGTATTATGTTATGTTTGACCAGGTGAGGTAGATGTTTCTATATCTCAGTATTATGTTATGTTTGACCAGGTGAGGTAGATGTTTCTATATCTCAGTATTATGTTATGTTTGACCAGGTGAGGTAGATGTTTCTATATCTCAGTATTATGTTATGTTTGACCAGGTGAGGTAGATGTTTCTATATCTCAGTATTATGTTATGTTTGACCAGGTGAGGTAGATGTTTCTATATCTCAGTATTATGTTATGTTTGACCAGGTGAGGTAGATGTTTCTATATCTCAGTATTATGTTATGTTTGACCAGGTGAGGTAGATGTTTCTATATCTCAGTATTATGTTATGTTTGACCAGGTGAGGTAGATGTTTCTATATCTCAGTATTATGTTATGTTTGACCAGGTGAGGTAGATGTTTCTATATCTCAGTATTATGTTATGTTTGACCAGGTGAGGTAGATGTTTCTATATCTCAGTATTATGTTATGTTTGACCAGGTGAGGTAGATGTTTCTATATCTCAGTGTTATGTTATGTTTGACCAGGTGAGGTAGATGTTTCTATATCTCAGTGTAATGTTATGTTTGACCAGGTGAGGTAGATGTTTCTATATCTCAGTGTAATGTTATGTTTGACCAGGTGAGGTAGATGTTTCTATATCTCAGTATGATGTTATGTTTGACCAGGTGAGGTAGATGTTTCTGTCCTACTTGCAATGCTAAGGAAGCTGAAGGACACACCTCTTAGACGGACGTCCAACAGAGCCTTTCTCACATTAGTTTCTAGTCTTGAGACAGCATCAGAGGTTGACAGTGAACAAGTTCAACAGGTAAGAGCTCACTTTGTTTATAATGTACAAACTCTTTACTGATGAATGATGATACACTTTACGGTAACAGTATCGACTACTTATATCTATTTAGTCATCTTCTAAACAGAAATCATACATTGATTAACATTGCATTGAATGAGTATTTAAATAAATAATCTTTACAGTTTTGAGCGCTGAATTAAAGCTACCTGTACTACAGAATGAACACTTGTCTGTTTGTAGATACTGGGTTACCTGGCAGACGAGGTAATTGTGGAGGTCCAGGATCTAGCCCTAGGTCTGATCAAACAACTATGTTTTCATCGCAGTAACACGACCAAGTTCATGGTGGCAGGACTCCTCAACAATGTGGAGAAGATCTTGTTGTCCATGCGGCCTCTCAAACCTTACGTGGCTGCTGTTGGGGTTCTAGAGGCAGTATGTCAATCTTCATTTAATGATACATGTCGCCTGTTTTCATCTCTGGTCCAAGCCTGCACACAAAATCACCTACATTGTACTTATAACTCTTACTTTTTGTCTCCCTATTTTACAAAAGTGAATGTATGTGCCCAAATGTCCTACATTCCAAATCATTTTCTCCCTACATTAAAGATCTGAGGTACATGTATGTTTTTATGATCATTCTTGAATGATAACTTGAGCTCCATTGGGGCAATCAAACTCTAACTTTAATTAGACTTCTTTGTCCAACATACTTAATTAGGAATGCTTTCAAGTCTAAAAAATGTTACCGCTAGTGTTTCATTTCGTTTCATTTCAACAGATTTTATTGACATGGTGTTATGGTCAAATGGATTGAATAATAGGCAAGCCTGTAAAAATTCTTTCCATGGGTGGCTAGAGTGTTACAAGAATATTATAGAACTTTAGCTAAATATATTTTATAGATTTTTTGAAATGAAAATACATAAATGTAAACGATAAAGTAATTAAAGGGAGGTAACTCACTGTTGATGGTTTACAATACAACACAGGACATACACACACACCGACATCAACAAACACACACACACAAACAAAACATAAATATAGTCATTAATTATCATAATTACACATGTACACAGGAGTTACTATTTTTAAAACATTCGATACAGTTAGGTAGATATACCAAAAATCCATGTGCAAGTACTGCACAGGTCATCACCACCTAAACTATGTATTACCTGTAGTGTACGTTACATAAAAAAAAAAGTTTAACATTGCATCTTAATCCAAGAAATGTAATTCTCTCAACTAACAAAAGCAGCAGAGGAATTACTAGTGCATAGTGATACCATCATTAGATGTCATAATGATATATTGCTAGTAAGTTAAGCCATCCAATTGTGTGTAAAGTAGCCTGTCATAAGTAGTTAAATGATTTCATTGATTCACTAGTTGTGACCCAATGTTTATGTTGTAGATTGTCAGTCATGAAGAGTTCCTCCCCGTCTGGTTGGAGCCAGTGATGCGCGTACTCCCTGGACTGATGCGACACCTCCAAATTGAGGAGACAGTGGATGCCAAGTATGCCATCTGTTGCCTGTTCCGTCGCCTTGCCCAGTACCCAGAACTCTCATGGAACATTCAGAATGAGGCCATTCCAGTCATTGATGTGACTAAGGGTAACAGTGCAAAAATGAGTGTAAGTAGTAAATTTCATTTTCAAATGTAATTGTACATTGTAGTTGATACAATTATTTACACAAAGCATTCTTAATGAACAGTAACCTATTATTTGTTTTGCCTTATGATACAAACTTCAAATAGGATTTACATGATATTGACTGGAAAAATCTTATCAATGATCTGTATATCTTTATTATATAAATGAATTAAAACTTACCAAAGGATTTATATTTTGGTTTTCCTGTATTCCTGTAGGAGGTGTACACACAGGTGATGATGGAGGCTGTACAACATTCAGACGAGGTATCCATAGGGCTGATACAAAATGGGGCCCTACCCACCGCCACCAAAATACTACAGGACGGGCCATGGTAAATTATATAGAATATACAGGGAGTAGGGGTACCACACCGACAAGGTATCCATAGGGCTGATACAGAACAGGCCCCTATATATATAGCTACCCACTGCCACCAAAATACCACAGGACAGGCCATGGTAAATTATATAGAATATACAGAGAGTAGGGGTACCACACAGACAAGGGATCCATAGGGCTGATACAGAACAGGCCCCTACCCACTGCCCCAAAAATACCACAGGACGAGCCATGGTAAATTATATAGAATATACAGGGAGTAGGGGTACCACACAGACAAGGTATCCATAGGGCTGACACAGAACAGGCCCCTATATATATAGCTACCCACTGCCACCAAAATGCCACAGGACGGGCCATGGTAAATTATATATAGAATATACAGAGAGTAGGGGTACCACACAGACAAGGTATCCATAGGTCTGATACAGAACGGGCCCCTATATATTTAGCTACCCACTGCCACCAAAATACCACAGGACGGGCCATGGTAAATTAAATATAGAATATACAGGAAGTAGGGGTACCACACGGACAAGGTATATAGGTCTGATACAGAACGGGGCCCTACCCACTGCCACCAAAATACCACAGGACGGGCCATGGTAAATTATATAGAATATACAGGGAGTAGGGGTACCACACAGAAAAGGTATCCATAGGTCTGATACAGAACAGGCCCCTACCCACTGCCACCAAAATACCACAGGACGGGCCATGGTAAATTATATTTAGAATATACTGGTAAGAGAATGGGTTACACACAGACAAGATGTCCATAGGGCTGATACACAACAGGGCCCTACCCACTGCCACCAAACTACAGGACGGGCCATGGTAAATTATATAGAATTTTCATAGGGGTTACACTGACGAGATATCCATAGGGCTGATACATAACTGGGCCCTTCCCACACCACCAAATTACTACAGGAAGGGACATGGTAAATAATATAGCACTTATAGAGGGTAGGGTATAAACAGCAAGATGTCCATGTGGAGCTATTATAGAACAGGGCCCTACCAGCCACCACCAAAATACTGCAGGACTAGCCATGTTATATAGCATTTATAAGGATGATACACCCACATGATGTGTCCATAGGACTGTTACTGCCACCAAAATACTACGATAGGCCATGGTGGGGGTGGTGGCTACTAACTAACGGACAAGGTGTTCACAGGACTGATATAGGACAAGGCCCTGGCCACCTTCACCAAAACACTACAGCATGGACCAAGGTATAGATTAGCGGATGGGAGATGAGATACACACTGATCATGAGCAGATAGTATCAAGCAGAACAAGACCTTTATACCCACTGACAGGCAGTAGTAGGATTTTGACATTTCTTTCCAAAAGTTATCCCAATGAAAATGCCCTTCCTTTCTGCATTCCTGTGTGTAAGATTTTATGCTGTAGTGGCATGGTCTCCAGAAACATCCTCTAGCTTTCTTCTTTGTTATATTCTTGTTCATTGTATAACTATACCCCTTGCAGTGGTCCTCAGAAGCATGCCTTAGCCTTGTTGTCAGCCTTGACCAAGAAGAACCTGGGGATCGCCTCTACTATCGACGACGAGGACCTCATGACACTGGTGCTGCGATGTATTAAGGAAACAAAGTGCAGGTAGACATTCATAATTGAAAGCATTCTACTATACGCTTTTCAAAGTGTGCTGAGAGAGAAATATGTCTGAATGGTATTCAGAATAAAGATTACTCTATTGCTCGTGTTGGTACATTGTACTATTTCTGGGACTAACATAAAATTGGGAGGGAGGCTAGCTCTGTTAGAACTGCTGGAACACCTTTGATTTTTTTTTTATAAAGTAATTTGAATAAGTTTGAAAAATATATTTGTTTTTCACAAAAGAACCAGAGAAATGCCTTCCACCATGAATACGTGACAACATACATCATCTTTATTTGTGAGGTTATAGTGGTATTGTTATGTACGTAATATATACTTATATCATGTGATAAAAATACATATTACCAGCTTAATAAAGGGTTTTGTTCTAGACATGTCTGTGCAGAGGCTACTTGTGTGCTAGCCAATACCTTCATGACTCGGAGCCGTGGTCGATGTCGGGATCTGATGGTCCACATCGCAGATTACCTAGTGCCCGCCACCATGGAGATAGAGCTGTTGCAGGCTTACAGTTTGGCTGGGGACTCACAGAAACTGCCTCTTATAAGGAACCGACATGAACGCGAAACACAGCTATGGAATGGCCTGCACAAACTATGTCACGTCATGTGTGACATCATATGTAAGGAAGGTAAGGATAACTTGTATCTTTTATAGGACATGCCACATCATGTGTGAAATATATGTCATATCATGTGTGAAATATATCCCATACTGATTGTGAAATATCACTTCCTGTTTATGAAATATCACATCCTGTTTTGGAAAGGTCACATCCTGTTTGGAAAATGTCACATCCTGTGTGATATGTCACATTCTGTGTGTAATGTTACATATATCTTGTGTGTGAAATGTCACATCCTGTGTGTGATGTTAGTATATCCTGTGTGTGAAATGTCACATCTTGTGTCTTGTGTTATGAATTTTCTGTTAGCTGTGATAGATTCAATCAATTACTATGGTTACAAATCAGTAGAATCTATCATTCTTTTATGATGAAGACCAAGGAATCTCAACCCAGAGGAAAAAGGTTTTGAAATTTAGCATAAGGCTTTGCTGAGTGCTAAACTTCAAATGTCTTATCTCAAGGGTTGAGATTTCTGTCTGCACATACATAAGTGATTAATCATTATTCTCTCACATGTTTTAAAGGGAAAAGGATTGTTGTATACTAGTGTCACCCTTGTAAAGTACTAGCCGCTTCCTACCGACTTGGCTAGGGAGAATTTCTCTTTAGCTCTTGTCGGAGGCATTGTACAAGTACATGTATAACATTTTAATGGCCTTTGAATTTGACAGCCAAGGTGGATTTAGATGGGGATGGTTGTCCACAGAGGATTGGTCTGACCGCCTCTTCAACGTCTGGCACACCCGCCCCGGGAGTTTCAGTGATCAGCCAATGTGTTAGGGTACTGACAAACGTGTGTATCTGGGCAGCCAGCAAGTCCCGACACGACTTCTACAAGATAGATCTTCATCATTTTGCACACATAGAGTCACAGAGGTACATATAAGTTCTTTTTTCACAGAGAACTACAAAATCTTTCATCCTAGTGTTCTTCTGTCTTAATTCTCTGGGCGTATTAATGTGAGAGGAAACCGGAGCACCCAGAGAAAACACACACGGTCGGGTAGGTGACCCCATACCTTTTCACATCCGGTCGGGTAAATGAACCCCGGCCACCTGCTATCTGTTGATCTTCACCACTCACTAGATATAAATGTAGGATATCTCATAAATGTATCAATGTAGGTGATTTCATAGGAAGTTACTTGGGAAATTGTAAAACATCCTCAAATTCTTTAATTCCTTCTTAAATAGGCTGAGGTAAACATTATATCAGTTGTATATGTGAGAATAATAATTATTTTTAATTGATGACAAGTTGACCAACATAACTTTTCAGTACTGTATATAAAACAAGTATGTATCTCACCATATGTAGGTTGAAGCTGTCCAAACTAAACAGGGTACTCACTCATTTTATATGGGACATCGCTGGGCGTCTTGTTTCTGCGGTGATGGCCCAGTTCTCCTCCCAGCTGCGCCGTCTGCTGGTTTTGGCTGACCTTCTGTATGACACAAAGATGAGGATGAAGCAGGATATATCTGGTAGTGTTGTTAAGAAGGGCACCAGTCAGAGGCTGCTCGTGGAGCGTGCTATCCTCAGAAATGGGACTGTAGATCTGTCCAAGATGTTCGTCAGTGCAGAGATTCACCTGATCAAGGTTTGCCTGGACTTTCTGCTGTGTATGTCTCTGTGTACATGTAGAGAGTTTCCAAATCTACAGAAGCATGAGACCCCACCGGGTAGTGACAGTAACAGAATCAATTCTAATAATAAAGCCACCACAAATGGGCGACCACCCAGTGGTGTATTGTCCAATGGTCGACCACCATCCTCCAAGAAAGAAAACGGCTGGGTCAACAATAACACAGAAAAGTCAAGGTATGAAAGCATTGAATTGAGTGACACTCTCTCCACCATACTATTGAGAATGGTTACCATTAAATGTCTACATTTTCGAATCAAAACAAGATGAAAGTTTTTCACGTCATTACCTGAACTAATGTACAAATGACCTTTGTATTAGCCATTAGACTTCCTACTAAACCATGGAAGTGTAAACTGCTTTCTGTATTCCTGTTTGTAGTTGTACATGGAAATAAGAGGTAAAACCAGAGATGTCGAATGATAAAAGGCTGATAAAGCGTTTTAAAGATTTTATCAACTGATAGAAACTTTTGTTAGTCATTTATATTTAAGGTTTACATAATGATGGAAGAAAAAATCTTTTTCTTTTAAAATGTGTTTGCAAAAAAAAGAAATATATATAAAAGACTGAGTGGTTTCTAAGCCATACATGCCAAGAATTAACATTGACTGTAATATACAGAGGCATCATAGGAAGTAAATTTTCTTTATTTGTCCTAAACTGACTTCTGATTAAACAGTAAGGAGCCCAACACAGAGGACGGAGGTGAGTGTGATAACAAACCTAAGCAGAAACAGAACACAGAGCAGAACGAGCAAGGCCTGGCCATGGAGCGAAGGAATCTCCGCAGAAATCTGTACGAGGCTGGCGTGTTCTACTGTGTGACTCCATTACTTAGCGCCTCGGACCAACTGTGTCAGGTAAATAGCCCACCCCATTCATTACGAGGTGCTTAACTATTACAATTGTATATGTGAATCTGTAGATATGTGATTTGGTTTGACACTTTCTTTAAGTGGTTCATCAACACAATAAAGGTCATGTGATAGACGATAGCTTAACAGTGAACCCAGTACTCAAAGTTGAAATATGCAGAATAAATTAAAGAATAGAGGAATTTACGATATTATATAAATGTTTCCTCTGATGATATGTATTTTGTACAGCAGGCCTATACTGCTGCTATGTAGATTACATTATAGTTTTATCCTCAGATTCATCGATGAATATGTCTTGGGCATTAAATACTGTGCTTATTAAGTCAGATATAGATACAATATGCACCACTAGCTACACTATATAGATGATCCAGGCCATTGACTATAGACCAGTCACTCCCTAGGGTAAAGAAACTTACCAAATGTGTGTAAAATGTATCCACTTATAATTACCTATGGTTGTGATGAAGCTGATAAGATTTTGGATTTACCTGGTAGTAGGATTAGTGTAACATATATGTTTGCAAGGCAAATTTATGTATAGAGTAATAATGGAGCGACTATAACTTTGTTAATACAAAGTCATTTTTGTGTGATTTGTGTGTGTGTTTCCTGTTTGCAGTGTTGGACACCATAACTATGGATGACCTTGTGTTAAGTGAGCTGAAGGTCAAATGTCACTATAAACACCAGCATATATAAACACCAAAACCTGCACCTTTCTTTGACACATTTTTCATCAGATATCCTAGTATTATGTGTAATTAAATGTGAAACGAAGTAAGATTTCAATATAGTGAAGTTAACAGTGAGTGGTATGTGTAATAAATAACATCATGTTATCAACCGATTTTACATTTAATTGTATTTAACATAAAGAAGATGTTTTAGTTTGTCAAGTGTTAATCAAAGCAATGAAGTATTCACATTCGGATAACTGAACTGTCTGGAAATCACGTCCTCTATGTAACCTAGTTCCGTAAGAGATAATCCTTCATATCAAAGACCAGACGTACTACTCCATCCTTGCTTATTTATCTTTATTTCACTACTTTCAGCTTTTTCCTAATCTTCATGTTACAAAAACTTTTTATATTCATATACACGCATGAAATATATTTTTGTATTCACCTTCCAGTCACTTTTATTTCATTCCATTCCTGAGTGCAGCACAGGGTCTTAGGGATAGCCAGGTTAAATAGGTTACAGTACATGCATATATTATGAAATTCCACCTTTTATCTATTTCACCAGAGGTTACCCAGAATTTCACCACCCCATTGCTTCTCTTCCTGCTTACAGTAATTACAGTCATTTTATTGTTAATTCAGAGGACTTTCAGTATAGTTAAACCAATTAATAGCCATAATTTCAACTGACATTCCACATTGTTCCTTTTCTCATTGACTGTATTTATTAATTGTTTCCAATATTTGAATCACTAGCTCTAGATCTCAAGATATGTCTGCACACTCCATGTTGATACATCATTTGTTTATATTTAAAGAAAAGGAATTACAACTTGTCGTTACATAATCTTTAGAAATGTCTGATATCTCCTGATTTTGCTGAAATACACTGTTTTTATGAATAGTTAGGTTAATAGTGAAGAGGTCTACAACAAGTTTACAGGTGATTGAATATAAGTAACAGATGAACTATGGCTAGTCTACAAATGAACTTAGGACCCATGGAGATGTGACACTTCAGCACTAAAGAGGGTCTGCAGCAGAATTTCAACATTATATTATACAGTTTAGAGAAATAGAAAGAATGAAAATTTTTCAGTTCTGACATTTCATAACTACACTGAACCACAAGTGAGATCAAATTCAAAATACAGATGTTTAAATAATGCAAAACAATTTTACTCTTAGTAATGAGCCTGTTGTGAAACTAAGTTAATATCAAGGTCACTGTTGCTTTTTATACAAGTTCAACCACAGGGCTATGGGGGAATTCATGTCTTACAGACATTTTCTTGTTTATTAAACAACATAGTTTCCAATATTGCCTACATTTTCATAAACATTCCATGGTGACTTTACTTGTGACAGGTTCTTGCGTGTCAGATCTTGAGGTGTAACATACAGCCCGTCGAGGAGAAAATACTCTTCCCTTCATCCAAGGCAACGCGCAGGAGGTAAACTTTGTCAAGAATTCATTTAATTATTTTCTAGTCATCAAATATTTTTGCGTGTACTAATTTTACAAAATACTTCAAACTTTGAAATTGGATGAACTTTTCCAAAATAGTACAATTCATAAAGTTATGATTCTGTAGCGTAAATAAATGTTTTACCGCTATGTTACATAAACCAACCGAAGGTGAAAGGATATGCAGAGACACTTAGACTTGTCTGGAGCTAAATCTGAACTTTTTCAGGCCCAAATCAGCTGTGAATAGAAAAGATATGGAGAAAAAGCTAAATGTGGCATTACACCAGATGTCCCCTGACTTTGCTGTCATCATAAAGGAGGCGATTGGGCCCCGCCCTGGGTCAGCTCATCCCGCCTTCAGTGTGTCTTCAGGATCGGGTGAGACTGATGATACCATGACTGTCAGTTCTACCTCGGGAGACGGTATTGATGACCAGGGAACTGCAGCCCGATTGGCTGAGTGTAAGACCATTGCGTTTTGTAACGTTCAGGTTTTGTATATGAGTCAGAACGAAATACTAGTATGTGTTTCTTATAAGTTTAAAAGTGCTTAATTAGACAGTTTTATTTTGAGTGATGGCTACCCAAATGTACTTCTATTTATGTATTATATAAGAAAAGTATAGGGCTCACACAGCTAAATCATTTACTACACTGTATATGTTATTACTAAACTTTTGAGCTAATAGCGTTAATATTTGAAGTTCAACACTAGTGACANATATGAAATGTTTAATATGAGTGTTACATACAGATGTATGGTGTGTATGAAGTGTTTAATATGAGTGTTACATACAGTTGTATGGTGTGTATGAAATGTTTAATATGAATGTTACATACAGTTGTGTGGTGTGTATGAAATTTTTAATACGAGTGTTACATACAGTTTTATGGTGTGTATGAAATGTGTAATATGAATGTTACATACAGTTGTATGGTGTGTATGAAATGTTTAATATGAATGTTACATACAGTTGTATGGTGTGTATGAANAATTCCTATCTATTAATGGACTCTGGAACTCTGACAGTGGGTTTATATAAAGCTTTTATACTTGTTTTGAGTAGATATTTCTATCTTTGAGCAAATATTGCCAATAAAACAATTGTCGATGATTTAATTTCAACTTTTTGATTTTTGGAAGGCCTGTGTGTCTTTTAGCGTATATGTCTGTGTGTCTGTCTTTGTCTGTCTGTCTATCTGGCAGTTCTTGTCTGTGTCTTGTCTGATTGCCTCGATGCACATGTCTACTGTTGTTTTGTCTGTCTTTGTTTTTCCAGTAATTATCTGTCTGTCTCTNGGATGTTTGGCATGTATGAAATATTTAAGATAAATGTTCCATACTGTTGTATGAATGTTTCTGCACAAATGCACGGTGTGTATGAAATGTTTAATATGAGTGTTACATACAGTTGTATGGTGTGTATGAAATGTTTAATACGAGTGTTACATACAGTTGTATGGTGTGTATGAAATGTTTAATACGAGTGTTACATACAGTTGTATGGTGTGTATGAAATGTTTAATATGAGTGTTTCTATACGGATATATGGTGTTTAAGAAATGTATGATAAGAATGTTTCTATACAGATGTTTGGCATGTATGAAATGTTTAAGATAAATGTTCCAAACTGTTGTATGAATGTTTCTGCACAAATGCATGGTGTGTATGAGATGTTTAATATGAATGTTACATACAGTTGTATGGTGTGTATGAAATGTTTAATATGAGTGTTTCTATACGGATATATGGTGTTTAAGAAATGTATGATAAGAATGTTTCTATACAGATGTTTGGCATGTATGAAATGTTTAAGATAAATGTTCCAAACTGTTGTATGAATGTTTCTGCACAAATGCATGGTGTGTATGAAATGTTGAATATGAATGTTACATACATTTCTTAAACACCATATATCCGTATAGAAACACTCATATTAAACATTTCGTACACACCATGCAACTGTATGTAACACTCATATTAAACATTTCATACACCCCATGCAACTGTATGTAACACTCATATTAAACATTTCATACACACCATACATATGTATGGTGTGTATGAAATGTTTAATATGAGTGTTACATACAGTTGTATGGTGTGTATGAAATGTTTAATACTAATGTTTCTATACAGATGTATGATGTGTATGATTTTTTTATATGAATGTTCTTTACAGGTGTATGAAATATTTGATATGCATGCATGTTCTATACAGATCTATGGTGTGTATAATTAAGCATTGAGTATATATGAAATGTTTGAAATAAATATGTCATAAATTAGCATGCTCTGTTATGATAGTACACACGATCAGTAAGTCAGATTAATATTCTCTACAGACCCAATACTTAGAAAACTGCGTATATGAAATGTGTATGGTTAACATGAAATGTGTATGGAATGTTTAGGGTGAGTGTACTGTGAAGTATGTTATAGTCTTCCAAATATTGTCATGTGTATGTGCTTTGAAAAACTGAGTAAAAATATAAATCAAAAGGCATTTTATGGTGAGTTTGGAGTGCTACAGGCGTCTGCTTTTGACAACCAGAAGTTTATAAGCCAAACCGGTGAAGTGGGACGGGAACACCCCCTGACATTTGACCCCATATCAATCCGCCATCACATTTTAAAATCTACTAAAACTAAACATTTTTCTTACGTTCAATACATGTAGATTTCATTCAATGTAAAGTATGTCAACAATTACCTATTTAAATTACTCAGAGGCACCCGGAACAAGCGTATGAAACACTTGCTGATTGGCTGATTTATTTGTGTGAGTCCTTATAATCTATGATCATACACTTGGAAGTGGATATGTAGCTTTTATAATAGTAAATAATTCGTACACCAGGCACTTGTATTTATATATTGAAAAATAATTCATGATGGTAGGTTTGCAATAAAGCAGAAAATTATTTTTGTTACAGATATGGAGCAGAGTAAGAAAACTGAGAAGATAAAAAAATCAGTGGACTTTGGTATACCAGTGACAGGTCCAACTCTCGACCCGCGACAACCAATGGGTCAGCAGTGTCGCCAACTCCTGGTCAAAGAGGCCGGGCACAGGGTCATATCTGGGGTGTTTACAGCTCCCAAATCAAACCGACGCCACTTTATCTCCCTTATCTATGACATCGTACATCTAGGGGATGTAAGTTGTTAAAAACACAGGCAGCTTTTAAAGCTGTTACATTGGTAACCTTTCAATTTCATTAAAGATTTCAAAGCTAGAGACTTTTGAAAAAGGTGTTTAACTGTAACTGTTGTAACAAACGTATAAAATACATCACACTTTAATTTGCATCAATAAGTTATTACAGTGTATAGCCTTTTGGGAATGATCAAGTACTTGTTGTGTATGTAATAAGAGATGGCAACATGCATATCTCATTAAAGTATCGAAAAAATTTGTGCACTTTTTGCATAAACCACTTCAGCAAACTTATTAACAAGTCACAGATCACTTTTGATGGATATTCTACATGAATAATGTTACATACCTAGGATACCAGAATCCAAGATGGCCACCTGTCAAGGTCATGTTCCATTACATTTATTTGGCGTAGATATATACAGCTATAACTTTTGTTCTATTGGTACAACTTTGTTATACTTGGTGGTAATTGGTACTTAATGGAAAGTCCACATGATGAATAAGGATATAATTTGTTGATCCCAGAATCAACTGGAAAGATGACTGCCACTGCTTGAGGTTGGCCAAGACTTTTTTGGTTGTAAAAATGTTTGGCGGAAATTGTACTTGACAGATTACATACAAGTTTTTTTATAATAATTGCTTGACAGCATGAACTACACATGAAGTTAGCAGAATTTGGCTGTATGCAGAAATTACTAGACTTCATAAGAGTCAACACCGACAGTGAACTTCTCGAGATTATTGGTATGTTATCTCATTGATATTAATAGTGATTGTTAGCTATATCACATTATTAATTACATTAAGGAGTTATTACTGATTAAGGTTATAATATACATGCATATAAATATTTATATATCACACATGTTGCACTATGATGAAAAGATGTATTGGTATAACCATATGGTTAGAGTGACGTGAACAGTCGACAGAATCTAACACTACACACATCTAAACTTTAATCTGTGGTGTTGTATATCCAGGGCTGATCATAGTCCAGATGTTGATAAAGAGTGACCCACGCTTGAGACAGATATTTGATCGCCATGGTGGCACAAGGCTGATGATGACCATGATGTCTAAGTACAGCAGTGGACCACTCAGGGACGAGATCAAGAACACCATGAGAACAGTGTCCAGTACTGGTCAGTATCCTAGTGTCTAGTCAGTATCCTAGTTTCTAGTCAGTATCCTAGTGTCTAGTCAGTATCCTAGTATTTATTCAGTATCCTAGTGTCTAGTCAGTATCCTAGTGTCTAGTCAGTATCCTAGTATCTAGTCAGTATCCTTGCATCTAGTCAGTATCCTAGTGTCTAGTCAGTGTCCTAGTGTCTTGTCAGTATCCTATTATCTAGTCAGTATCCTAGTATATAGTCAGTATCCTAGTGTCTAGTCAGTGTCCTAGTGTCTAGTTAGTATCATGTCTAGTCAGTATCCTAGTGTCTAGTCAGTATCTTAGTGTCTAGTCAGTATCCTAGTATCTAGTCAGTATCCTAGTGTCTGGTCAGTATCCTAGTGTCTGGTCAGTATCCTAGTGTCTAGTCAGTATCCTAGTATCTAGTCAGTATCTTCGTGTCTAGTCAGTATCCTAGTATATAGTCAGTATCCTAGTATCTAGTCAGTATTTTCGTGTCTAGTCAGTATCCTGTCTAGTCAAAGGCCGTAGTAAAGAACATGATTTGGTTCACCTGGTATGATGTGTCTATGAGAAGCAATGGCATCCTTTCAAACCGTGAACAATTTTCTTCTAATTATCATGAAATTTGACTTTGAGCTTGCTTGGTTGAACCACTTTCAAACTCACAGGTCAGATATTTTAAGAATGTCAAAAAGCATCTTGGCTGTCATGGTTAGAATGTTGATGTTTGTCCTGTAGTATCTTGGACTGTACTTAGATGAATTCCCATTAGTTGTGTAATTTATTTGATGAAAATGCTTTATAAAATGATCTTATTGTTTTACAGGTATCACTGCAGGTCCTTCCCGAGCAAAGCCGTCGGACAAGGGTAAACCACCCCCTGATGTGTGGGACCAGGTAAGCTATATTCAGACAAGGGTAGGCTACCCCCAGAGGTGTGGGACAAGGTAAGCTATATTCAGACAAGGGTAGGCTACCCCCTGATGTGTGGAACCAGTTAAGCTATATTCAGACAAGGGTGGGCTACCCCCAGATGTGCGGGACCAGGTAAGCTATATTCAGACAAGGGTAGACTTCCCCCAGATGTGTGGGACAATGTAAGCTATATTCAAACAAGGGTAGACTAACCCTTGATGTGTGTGACCAGGTAAGCTATTTTCAGACAAAGGTAGACTACCCCCTGATTTGTGGGACCAGGTAAGCTATATTCAGACAAGAGTAGACTACCCCCTGATGTGCTGGACCAGGTAATCTATATTCAGACAAGGGTAACTAACCCCTGATGTGTGGGAACAGGTAAGCTATATTCAAACAAGGATAGACTACCCCTTGGTGTGTGGGACCAGGTAAGCTATATTCAAACAAGGGTAGACTACCCCTTGATGTGTGGGACCAGGTAAGCTATATTCAAACAAAGGTAGACTAACCCCTTATGTGTGAGACCAGGTAAGCAATATTCAGACAAGGGTAGACTTCCCCCTGATTTGTGTGACCAGGTTAGCTATATTCAGACAAGAGTAGACTAACCCCTGATGTGTGTGACCAGGTTAGCTATATTCAAATAAGGGTAGACTTCCTCCTGATGTGTGGTACCAGGTTAGCTATATTCAGACAAGGTTAGACTTCCCCCTAATGTGCTGGACCAGGTAAGCTATATTCAGACAAGGGTAGACTACCCCCTGATGTGTGGGACCAGGTAAGCTATATTCAGACAAGGGTAGACCACCCCCTGATGTGTGGGACCAGAGAAGCTATATTCAGACAAGAGTAGACTACCCCCTGATGTGTGGGACCAGGTAAGCTACATTCAGACAAGGGTAGACTTCCTCCTGATGTGTGGCACCAGGTAAGCTATATTCAGACAAGAGTAGGCTAACCCCTGATGTGTGGGCCCAGGTAAGCTATATTCAGACAAGGTTAGACTTCCCCCTGATGTGTGGGACCAGGTAAGCTATATTCAGACAAGAGTAGACTACCCCCTGATGTGTGGGACCAGGTAAGCTACATTCAGACAAGGGTAGACTTCCCCCTGATGTGTGGGACCAGGTAAGCTATATTCAGACAAGGGTAGACTACCCCCTGATGTGTGGGACTAGGTAAGCTATATTCAGACAAGGGTAGGCTAACCCCTGATGTGTGTGACCAGGTAAGCTATATTCAGACAAGGGTAGACTACCCTCTGATGTGTGGGACCAGGTAAGCTATATTCAGACAAGGGTAGACTAACCCCTGATGTGTGGGACCAGGTAAGCTATATTCAGACAAGGGTAGACTACCCCCTGATGTGTGGGACCAGGTAAGCTATATTCAGACAAGGGTAGACTAACCCCTGATGTGTGGGACCAGGTAAGCTATATTCAGACAAGGGTAGACTACCCCCTGATGTGTGGGACCAGGTAAGCTATATTCAGACAAGGGTAGACTAACCCCTGATGTGTGGGACCAGGTAAGCTATATTCAGACAAGGGTAGACTACCCCCTGATGTGTGGGACCAGGTAAGCTATATTCAGACAAGGGTAGACTACCCCCTGATGTGTGGGACCAGGTAAGCTATATTCAGACAAGGGTAGACTACCCCCTGATGTGTGGGACCAGGTAAGCTATATTCAGACAAGGGTAGACTACCCCCTGATGTGTGGGACCAGGTAAGCTATATTCAGACAAGGGTAGACTAACCCCTGATGTGTGGGACCAGGTAAGCTATATTCAGACAAGGGTAGACTACCCCCTGATGTGTGGGACCAGGTAAGCTATATTCAGACAAGGGTAGACTACCCCCTGATGTGTGGGACCAGGTAAGCTATATTCAGACAAGGGTAGACTACCCCCTGATGTGTGGGACCAGGTAAGCTATATTCAGACAAGGGTAGACTACCCCCTGATGTGTGGGACCAGGTAAGCTATATTCAGACAAGGGTAGACTAACCCCTGATGTGTGGGACTAGGTAAGCTATATTCAGACAAGGGTAGGCTAACCCCTGATGTGTGGGACCAGGTAAGCTATACTCAGACAAGGGTAGACTACCCTTTGATGTGTGGGACCAGGTAAGCTATATTCAGACAAGGGTAGACTAACACCTGATGCGGGGGGCCAGGGAAGCTATATTCAGACAAGGGTATACTAACCCCTGATGTTTGGGAGCAGGTAAGCTATATTCAGACAAGGTTAGACTTCCCCCTGATGTGTGGGACCAATTCAGACAAGGGTAGACTATTCTCTGATGTGTGTGACCAGGTAAGCTATATTCAGACAAGAGTAGACTACCCTTTGATGTGTGGGACCAGGTAAGCTGTATTCAGACAAGGGTAGACCACCCCCTGATGTGTGGGACCAATTCAGACAAGGGTAGACTAACCCCTGATGTGTGGGACCAGGTAAGCTACATTCAGACAAGGGTAGACTTCCCCCTGATGTGTTGGACCAGGTAAGCTTTATTCAGACAAGGGTAGACTATTCCCTGATGTGTGTGACCAGGTAAGCTATATTCAGACAAGGGTAGACTAACCCCTGATGTTTGGGACCAGGTAAGCTATATTCAGACAAGGGTAGCTATATGCTACCCCTAGATTTGTTGGACCAGGAATGAATGTGTATATGTATGCTAATTCGAGTTATGCTTGTCTTTGGCAGATACAATCAAGCTGGAAAGATCAGGACAAAGTCAAGACAGTCCTACGCAACTGGAGGAGTGATGTCAAAAAGTGACCACTGCAGGGAAGCTAGCTTGTGTGTACTGGCCTGGCAGACTGTAAAACAGCTACATGAGGACATTCTCATTAAGGACTAAAGTACTCTTATGAGACCACCAATATATTACACCTGTCAAGTGTTTTATATATCCAATCAAGGCGGACTATTGTTTGTGATACCCAATAACCTACAGAAAATTAGCAATAACTTCATGTCAGTATTCTTGTATTATACAACTTTGATGCCTTCACTTCATAATGATAGATACAAATGCAGTTCATTTTAATAATTAAAAATCATAATTTATCTAATATAGAATAATACCAAGTTTGTCAGAAATAGCTCATATATTTGTTAACATCAAAATGTGTACCTGTGTACTGATTATATCACTATGTTTACTGATTATATCACCGAAAGTCATCATCATTTTATTTATTACATTCAGTATCAAATAATGTTATTTATTTATTCCATGTTTGATATCAACCTCTCCTAAATGTTCGACTTAAATTTACTTATTATAGGCTACATACATGTATCATTAATTTATGTCAATTTTAAGACTTCGTTATAATCATAACATTTCGTTTATCCTAATTTGTTGATATTATGTTGGTTCATTTTATTTTTAACAGATTGCATTTAAGTTAACAGAAGTATTTGATTTATTTGATATCTCTTTTATCAGTACAAGTTTGCTCTCATATTCTGTAGTATGAATATTACTTTGGTAAGTTAATATCTAAGGGGATATGTTCACTTCATCACTAAAGATATGTGTTTTTGTGGTTTTCATGTCGCATACGTTTGTATCTGTCTTAAGATGTGACTTGACAATTAAGATGTAAGTTTTATCTGATAATGTAGTTGACTACAGGTGAGTTAGATTACAGGTGAGTTAGATTACAGGTGAGTTAGATTACATAGTCTGTTACCTGTTGTTGATCACCAATTGTATATGTCAATCTTGGGTGATATGTTGTAACATCCCAATTAAGACTAAGTATCCCTCGACTGAGATATATAAAGATTTCTTTAAAAATACTTATCAACTGTGATTGTTACTGATATTGATGTTTGTGAAATATCTAATGACATCACACTGCGATAGAGGTGTGATTTGTGGTTATTAGAGATAGTTCCCATTTATGTGTAGCACAAGTAAATCACAGAGCTTATACAAAACAACCATCATACATCCCACATGAGGAAGATGGTGTAGTATTTCCTGAGTATTTTTTTTGCAAGTGAAATATGCTGCCAAATATCAGGTGATGTCAAGTGAGGGTACAGACAAATTGTTACTTACGTGCTAGAAGTACAAGAGTTATCCCCCTTGGTACAGTGGTATAGTTGTATTTTTCGTATTGAGTAGATGACCACAAGAATATGCACACAGGAATATGTATTTATAGATATATAGGTGTCAGAACCATTGCCAATGTGAACATTTCCACACTATGATCAGTGTCAGAAATATTGCCAATGTGAAAATTTCAACACTATGATCAGTGTCAGAACCATTGCCAATGTGAACATTTCCACCCTATGATCAGTGTCAGAACCATTGCCAATGTGCACATTTCCACACTTTGATCAGTATCAGAACCATTGCCAATGTGAACATTTCCACACTATGATCAGTGTCAGAACCATTGCCAATGTAAAAATTTCAACACTATGATCAGTGTCAGAACCATTACCAATGTAAACATTTCCACACTATGATCAGTGTCAGAACCATTGCCAATGTGCACATTTCCACACTATGATCAGTGTCAGAACCATTGCCAATGTGAACATTTCCACACTATGATCAGTGTCAGAACCATTGCCAATGTGAACATTTCCACACTTTGATCAGTGTCAGAACCATTACCAATGTAAATATTTCCACACTATGGTCAGTGTCAGAACCATTGCCAATGTAAATATTTCCACACTATGGTCAGTGTCAGAACCATTGCCAATGTGCACATTTCCACACTTTGATCAGTGTCAGAACCATTGCCAATGTGCACATTTCAACACTATGATCAGTGTCAGAACCATTGCCAATGTGAACATTTCCACACTATGATCAGTGTCAGAATCATTGCCAATGTGCACATTTCCGCACTATGATCAGAGTCAGAACCATTGCCAATGTGCACATTTCCACACTATAATCAGAGTCAGAACCATTGCCAATGAGCACATTTCAACACTATAATCAGTGTCAGAACCATTGCCAATGTGAACGTTTCCACACTTTGATCAGTGACAGAACCATTGCCAATGTGCACATTTCCACACTATGATCAGAGTCAGAACCATTGCCAATGTGCACATTTCCACACTATGATCAGTGTCAGAACCATTGCCAATGTGAACTTTTCCACACTATGATTAGTCAGAACCATTGCCAATGTGCACATTTCCACACTATGATCAGTGTCAGAACCATTGCCAATTGGAACATTTCCACACTATGATCAGTTTAAGAAATCACAACATGAATATTTTCACATTTATTCAAGTTTAAGGTTATGTTAAAAAAGATGCCAAATTATCAAGCATCATAAAACCCTATACACATCTACAAATATATCTACATTTGGTAGAATATCATAGTCTTGATGAATATCTAAATGTGATTGACAAGAACATTGATAAGAAAAAGAAAAAAAGTTTGTAGGTAACAGTTTAGAGAGACAGGATTACAGCAGTTTACACTAAAACTCTGTACAGTGAAGTTATGTTGTTCTTTACACCTTATAACTGAATACCTCCAGATTTTGATAAGGAAACTTCAAAGATTTGTTTGTATGACCAAAGCTGTCGAGTAACACACTCAGGTTCCCTACTCCAATGGTCAGTTTCCTGGCATGGTGAGCCATCACATAACACCTCCAGTCCATCTGGCTGATCACTTCAATATTTGTTATAGAACTTCTAGATGTGTGCATCATGATTATAAGACATATCATGTAATAATCACAGCTGTTACACTCTCAGATAAGTGCTGCAAAGGTCAAGGTCATGACAAGGGGTCAAAGGTCAAGGTCGTGACAAGGAGTCTAAGGTCAATTGATTCATCCTAACTTCTGATCATCATATGATTTCACTATGAAACTTCATCGATATGTGTATTACGACCACCGGTTGTTATGTTACAGAACACTACCTAGTAGGTATCCTGAAGACAAAGTTCATAAAGTGATGCTTTGATAAGTTCATCGAAATAATCAGTATGGATAGAGCCTGCATTTAACAACACTGAATCCTAAGTTACTGTTAATATACATTTACCATTTCATAGGGACTATACCTAGTACAACTTTTAAAATGTTATAATAAAATTGTCTTAGAAAAGAGAACTTTACGGAGCCCTGGCTTACTTCATATTATTTGCTTTGTAAATTGACCTTAAAATGCCTTAATTGTCAACGTAAGGCCATAGAATGTGTTCAAGGTCGCCAATTTTATAGATTTTATTCTGACAATAAAAAACTTTTTTTTTATACTGTAGAACATTTTATTTATACTGTAAAACAATTAGTGTGTAAAACATATTTTCACTTCAATATATTTTCGCTATTTATACCCTTTGAATGACAAACTAATGAAACAGAAGAATGAAAATTATTACATACCTAATGCAACACTGGGCAAAGGTTTGAAAAGTCAAAAAATCAAACACTGGTGTTTTGAGAATATGGCAGTTTCCTACTGTATATGGACGTTGAACACCTAGTCAAATAATTATACCATCAGATATTAATACAAGCTGTATCTTGCCAAGTAACTAATATTAGTTTAAACAAAATTTAACTACTGTCTATACAAGTAGTAGGTTTAACTACAAAATTTACATAAATCAGAGATATTTCTCTAATTTTCTCCTTATTACAAATGTATATACTTGTATGTAGAATTGTATTTTCAGTGCATTTAGCATATACAATCAAAAGACTATTGTTTTCTATATCATAATATGTATTAGGTAAGTTTATTTAAATACTAATTAATTGTGAAATCTAGGTATATAATACATTGTACTATGTTTGTATATGAAATGTTGAAGATGACAGCTGTACATTACTGGTGGTGATATTGAATGTGATATTAAATAGAAGTCTGATTAAAGATTGGGTCATTTATATGATTATACACTTACAAACTGTACACCTCTGGTGTAATTCTTTTTAATTGAAGACTCTTTCAGGTGCCAATTTTTATTTTTTTCTAAAAATTAAAATGAAGAAAGGATTATTTGATTTTTTTTTATGTAGTTTAAAAATGGAGCAAAATATGAATTTTGACAAATTACTGAAACTTCATAAAAAAATGAAAATGCGAGAGCTCTTTTGTTTATTTCTGTTATTTAAAACAAGTACACATTTACATATGTGATTTTTTTAATGTGATTTAAATGTTAATGTGAAAATTAAAGCAGATGAAATCATGAATATTTTAAATCTAATTAACCCACTCACATTGTACCAAACTACTGCTATCTGGCTAACAGTTCATGGGGTTTGTCATTTTGTCTCTGTTTCTCTAGTACCATAAAACAAAAGTTTATATTTTTTTGGTACCAGAAATAAGCAGATGGTTATCACACCATATCAGCTGTTAGCAAAGATGGCTGTAGCATGCTAAACCAAAATTCAAATTGTTTATTTATGCCAAAATATTCAGTTGCTATGACTTTTTAATTCGTTATATTAGTGCTCTGTATGTTTTTTTTGTTAATGGATATATTTGTTCCCTATGAAACAAGTACCTTGGTCACTGTTTTCATCCATTATGCCCATATAATACCCTACTTAAGTGTTTACCTAAGGTTACCATATAGTACCCTGCTTAAGTGTTTACCTAAGGTTACCATATAATACCCTACTTAAGGGTTTACCTAAGGTTACCATATAGTACCCTACTTAAGTGTTTACCTAAGGTTAACATATACTACCCTTCTTAAGTGTTTACCTAAGGTTACCATATAGTACCCTACTTAAGTGTTTACCTAAGGTTACCATATAACACCCTACTTAAGTGTTTACCTAAGGTTACCATATAACACCCTACTTAAGTGTTTACCTAAGGTTACCATATAATACCCTACCTAAGTGTTTATCTAAGATTACCATATAATACCCTACTTAAGCGTTAACCTAAGGTTACCATATAATACCCTACTTAAGTGTTTACCTAATGTTACCATATACTACCCTTCTTAAGTGTTTACCTAAGGTTACCATATAGTACCCTGCTTAAGTGTTTACCTAAGGTTACCATATAATACCCTACCTAAGTGTTTACCTAAGGTTACCATATAGTACCCTACTTAAGTGTTTACCTAAGGTTAACATATACTACCCTTCTTAAGTGTTTACCTAAGGTTACCATATAGTACCCTACTTAAGTGTTTATCTAAGGTTACCATATAATACCCTACTTAAGTGTTAACCTAAGGTTACCATATAACACCCTTCTTAAGTGTTTATCTAAGATTACCATATAATACCCTACTTAAGCGTTAACCTAAGGTTACCATATAATACCCTACTTAAGTGTTTATCTAAGATTACCATATAATACCCTACTTAAGTGTTTACCTAAGGTTACCACATAACACCCTTCTTAAGTGTTTATCTAAGATTACCATATAATACCCTACTTAAGCGTTAACCTAAGGTTACCATATAATACCCTACTTAAGTTTTTACCTAAGGTTACCATATAATACCCTACTTAAGTGTTTACCTAAGGTTACCATATACTACCCTTCTTAAGTGTTTACCTAAGGTTACCATATAACACCCTACTTAAGTGTTAATTTACCTAAGGTTATCAGGTTCTCTAGGATAACATTAACAGTATGTTATTTTCTCGCACACCCTAGATACATTCCTGTTTTTGCAAGGTAAAAGAATAACCTACCTTTACCTTCCTTTAAAGATGGCACAGAGTATTTTGTTCACCATTAATACTTATATTTATGGTAGGAAAGTGTGAGAGAAAAAACCAATCATTCCTATGTGATGCAGACTGGGAAATCTCAACCCTTGGGATAATTTAAGGTTTTTAAGTTTAAGCTCTCAAGCAAGCCTTGTGCTAAACTTAAAAAAAATCTTACCCTCTGTTTAAATGTCTGCATCAACCCAGAGTGATAGATTCTGTTAATCAATTACACCTTTAAAGCAAGTTGCCATGCATTGTCTTACCTGTGATATCTTTAAGGTAACAGTTGCCATGCATTGTGTTTTATATGATACCTATATAGTTACTTACAAGGCAGCTAGCTATACAACACCTATTTTCCTTGGCTTTTATTCCCCTTTTCTCTAACTGTTCGGCTCCTCTGTCCCTTTTGACATACTTATCATTGACACATTTTGTATGGTTGGGCCATCCATGATTTAATGTTGTGTAGAGGGCCTGTATAATTTCTAGCTTACATAGCCCAAAGGGCTATGGGATATTATGCCGTGGTGCAGTGTCTGTCATCATTCCAGTGTCAACTTCTCACTTTAAATGACTATTTTCTGAATAACCAAGAGGATTAGGGTGGTGATATTTGGTCTGTAGCATGCTGGGATGAAGGGTTATCAAGGTTATTTGAATGAATTATCTTGACCCCCTTTCGAGGTCACAAGGGTCAAATTTGTTAAAGCCTTTAACTGTCTTCTGAATAACGTAGAGTTCTAGAGTGATGATATTCGGCCAATAGGATTACTGATGTAGGGCTATGGTGTTTTCTCAGGTGAATGAACTTGACCCATTTTCAATGTCATAGGGGCCAAATTTGTTAAAACATTTTAAAAACCTCTTCTTATTAACCAAACAATTTAGGGTGATGATATTTGGCCAGTAGAATACTGGCATGACAGGCTATCAAATTTGTGCAAATAAATAACCTTGAACCACTTTCCAGGTCACAGGGGTCGAATTTGAAACCTGTAAATGCCTTTTTCTGAATAACAAGAAGCCTTGGGTGAGATATTGTATGAGCAACATACTAAGATGAAGGTCTGTCATGTTTGTTCTAATAATTTTAAATAACCTGACCCTCTTTTAATGTCGTAGGGTTCACATGTGTTAAAAAATTAGAACAACTTCTTCTTAATAACGAATGGGCCTAAATTGATGATATTTTGCCAGTAGCTTGCAGGGATACAGAGCAATGAATTATTTATAAATGTTTGACCTTGACCAATTTTCAAGGTCACATCGTCAATTCTTTAACCATTTAAACAACTTTTTGTCATTAACCAAGATACCAAGGATGATGATATTTGGCCAGTAGCATTCTGGTAAGTAGGGCTATGAAGTTTGTTTAAATGAATTTGGTTTTGATTTATTTTATTGTCACAGCACTGAATACCAGGTGAGAGATATAGACTCATTGCGCTTTTTGTGTCTTCTTTTGCCATTCATTATGTTAGAAAATCCGTCCATTTTACATGGTCTTTGTAATTGCTGTGGTAGCTAGCCTGTAGTTTAATGTTGTATAAGTACATTATGTAATTAGGTCTGCTGTGATTTAACTTGTGACAAGTAAGTGTATACATGTATTTGTTTTGCATTTTGTGCGTCTTTTACAAGTGCTTTGTTTTAAATTAATGTTTCTGATTACAGATTTTTTTTTAATAAACTGGATAGTCATTTTTTTATTATTTTAAATTGTGTTTGCTGTTTTTTCTTAAGCCTGACATCTTTTGGTTGCAGATTACAAGTTGTTACCAGATGTAAGATGTTTGTAGAAGTGTGGCCCAACCCACTGTAAAAACAACATAGTTGATAAGGTGCAATGGGAATGATGAAACATGAGATACATGTCCTTTTGTTTAAGTTCAGACATTTTGATGTCACTATGAGTCACCAAGAAAAAGGTGTTAAGGAAATGTGACACAAATCTTTAGTAATCTTATCTATAAAATCAATATAAGAATACATCATGACGATGGTTCAGAGCAAACGTTTATGAGCTTTATCATGAAGTTTGAGGTGTCCTGGTGGTGCTTATTTAGGAGGTCCAGCACTGTTCCCCCCTGTGGAGAGCCATCAAACATTGTAGTAAAATAGTAGTCTGTTGCATGTGGGCCCGCCATTACAGACACACCACAACCCGTAAACCACCTGTTGACCCTGTACCTACATTACTAGCTCGCCAAACTGCCAGGGATACCATGACATAGCAACTGGACCAGCCCCACATCGATAATATTCACTTATAATTTGCACAACTGTAGATAACACATGAGAAAATTAGGTAAATTATCATTGTTGATGATAAAAAATCACAATTACATCCTCTTAAAAAGACTGGTTGTGCATGCTACCAACAGTAGAACTGTCACAGCTAAACAGCCCACAGTGTAAGATATCTCAACCAGGCACATGTCAGTGTGGGAAGCATTTTTTTCCCAGCATAAAGAAGGGTGGAAGTAGCTTGTTAATGATGTATCAAAGCCTGTGTAGGTTTGAGGAACAAAATAGGCTTGCTGTATCCCTCCTTCTGCAGAATTGGGGGAGGGAGGTTCTTCATTGTCTTCTCCTTAGGGGACATTGAAGGAACTGGTATCCCACTGCATGTGTATCATAAAAAGTGACTAATGTGGGGCCCCCTGCAGTATCAGGGGTTTTCTTCCGTCCCTTCTGCAAAAAAGATATGGAAGAGACCAACATTGATCTGCTGCCCCATATGTAACACTAGAGATCTTTTTCATTTCCTATCCTTCCTGTCTACTTCCTTTCTTTCCTATCTACTTTGGCAATTTTTTTTCACATTTTCAACTTAAGCTTTAAAAATACAGTCAAAGGGATTTCATTGGGACTATTTAACTGAAACTTGGTAGGAAAGATCAACTTGTGGTCCTGGCAAAGTGTTCTTATTTTTCGAGCCGATAAAATCCAATATAGCCGCCATGGCCGCCATTTTTTTTTTTTTATTATTATTTCAAACTAATAGGCTGATCGATTTAACTGAAACTCGGTCTAGGAATGATCAGCTCATGGTCCTGACAAATTTAACTTAACTTTATACTTAACTATTTTTTACTCAAATTGGTAGGGATGGTTGACATCATTATCTCCACTTCGTATTTCAACAACTAAAATAAATACTGTAGGACTCTGGTGACTGTTAAGGGCCATGAGCCTCTTGTTTAATAAAAGAAGGAGCATTAATTCTCATATTACAAGATTAAACCTCAATCTTTGCCTCTTAAACTTTCATATTCAGGCTACTACCACCATCTTGGGTTATGTAAATCAGCATGAAGACTAGGAAC